TTGATAATATCTTGATTTATTTAGATATTTAAATGAAGTGCTTGAATAATTAAACATATATGTAGCTTGTTTGGACAAGCGTTGTAAAGGTTATATATAAGTATTTTTTAAAAGAGAAAAGGCATAAAGTCACTATTGAAGTTGTTTCGAAATTGTTTGTTTCCTATTACCCCCACAAAAGTTTTGAATATCTTTGTAAAAGGGTCATTTTGACCCATTCCCTCACCATGAACAACGCGTGTGATGCTCACGCTAGTTTCAATCTGACCTGATTCATTTCAAAAATAGAAACGTCGTCTTCATCTTTTGTTATTTCTCATCTTTTAGAGTCTCTTCGTTTCCCAGGTCAAACGATTGTGGTGATCATCTTCCTTTTTTATGTTTCTTGGTCAAAATTCTTGGAAGAACAAGGAATTGAAGGCCTAACAGGTTAGAACGGTTAGTGATTGTGTTCTAGGTTAGGGTTTTGTGTTATCGACTTAGTGCGACTGTTAGTGATTGTGTTCTTAGTTAGGATTTCATGTTATTGACTTAGTGTGACTGTTAGTGATTGTGTTGAACTATAAGAAAAATATTTCATCCATTTCAATTTACCTGACCTTATTTTAATTGTGAGATTCAAACAAGTTTTCATATCCGTAACCTTCTCAATTGAAAAATGTATGAAGTTTTACGATTTATTGAAGATAATGTGTACAATTAAATCATGCAATATATTTTAAACGATTAACTTATCTACACAATGGACATTTAATTAGAACATGCATAATTTTTTTCAAATTGTTAAGATAAAAATGTCTAATAAAAATACTTAATTATCTTTTCATATACTCAATCAAAACAAATTATAATTTGAGCATATGATACTAAAAGTTTACTGATAAATTTAAGAAAACCGATATATTAAGTCATATTTTTTACATTTATAATTGAAAATTAACTTTAGTTCAATTAAGATTCAAATATGCATATAAGATATATGTAGTAAAATTTTAAATGATTAACATTCTTACTTTTATCGAGTGCAAGAAAAATATGACATAACGTGATAACAATTAATTCCAAGTCTTGATAATTATTTTTTGTGCTAAAAAAAAAAGTAAGGGTGTCAAGTAGACAAATTAGGCTAATTTTAAATACCACTTTTTCCCAAGTATTTTAATTCAAGGGACAGGGATCATGTGGTTATTTTTAATTCTCTTGTCATGTTGGTCTTCTTCATAATTATTCTTGCCACATACATCCACTAGTTCATACAAAGTATTTGTCAAGTGATTAAATGTGGTCATAGAATCACCGAGGATTGTGGTTGAGTAATAAGTACTCATTCATTTTTAATTGGATATCTCAAGTTTGAGTCTCCTTGAATACAATATCGCCTTTGCTATGGAGTATTTTACCCTCATTATGAGATTTTCCAACTTAATAATGAATTGAAATTTTGAAAACTCTAATACCACAAAATAACATGTGAAAAGGTAAAATATTTTTGCTACAATTTTCCATTTTATAAACCAAAACACAGTTTATCAATAAACATTCTAGTTCCAGAGACACTAACAAGTGACACAAATATATATATATATATATATATATATATATATATATAATAACCTATTTAGATTGACTTATTTTATTTTAGATGATTTTAATTTAATTTATTTTTTTAAGTATTTATGTAGTATTTGAGTAAGATCAACAATTGTTGTTTAAGCACTTGTTTTTAAGCTCAAACAACAGAATAACCAAAGGCCATAAATTAAAAATGAGCCAACAACACAAATCTCATTAGTTTAGGACCTAATTACATGCCTTCACTTTAGTTTTTGAAATCACCTTTCGTACCACATTTACTTCGCCAGATACATACATCTATTACACTCAAATATATGTATCTTGAATATATGCGAGTCAAATTAGGTGTAATTTGTTTCAAATACACTCTATCCAAGCGTGATTTGCATGTATACACTAACTCTATCTCACACTACTTCTCTCCTCTCTCTTTCTTTCGTCTCTCCTTTCTCACTCGTCTCTCTCCCTTTCTCCTCTCTCACTCCCCCCCCCCCCCCATGTATCTCTATTCCATAAAGTATATGGTATCTCATATATATGTATCTAGTGTGATTCACATGTATTTGCAGTACACAGACTCTCTCAGTCGATTCTCTCCCTATGTATCTGCATTTCAGAATGTATTTGATATCAATGATACATGTATCTGACTTGAAATATGAAAGAGTGGTGTATCTTACTTGAAATCTAGTATGAAATTATTAGTTAGCGAGATAACATGTAATTTAAAAAAATTATAGAGTGGATTAATAATTATGACATGAATGTTTGTATAATTAGGTAGTTTTTCCATTAAAAGTCCTAACTTATCACTTGGAAATCACAAGCAATAAGTCCATTTAAGTGTATATTTGGTATGGAGGAAAACACTTTCTTGATTTTGTTTTCTTATTTCCTATGTTTGGTTGGACAAAACTTCTAGAATACATTTTCTCTAAGAAAATAAATTGCTTAAATGAGGAGAATGGCTTTCTTGGTAGATGTAGGGAAAACAAGTTGTATAAATGACATTATATGTATATTGTATCCTCCCCACCCATCCAACGCCCCCAACCTCTACCCTTGACCATCTCAGATCCACCACCCCAAGGTTCCTCTCTTCACCTCCTTCCACCCCAATAGCGTTTTGCTAGATTTCATATATATACTTTTTACATAATGTTTTTTCACTAACTTACCAAACACTAGAAAATAAAGAAGAAACAACTTATTTTCCAATAAATTTTTTCTCTAAAAAAATATTCACATTCATACCAAACACACTAATCAAACTTACAAAAGTTTATACATTTTGGCTATGCCTTAAATAGGGTCACAAAATCGGCCGTTAGTGCACTTGACTCGTTAAAATAGACCATAAACCAGGAAATTACACCCAATGACCTTGAAAATCAATGATCTAAATTTTATGACCCCCACTTATCCTATAGGCAAACCGTCCGTCAAAAGTAAAAAAACTTAAACTTTTGCGTATCGAACAAACATGATAAAAAAATACAAGACCACTTAGGTCATTCTCGTAAATCATCGGTCTTCATATTGGGCCAAAAGTTCAAATAAATCCATGGGCAAACTACATAAATCCCACTAATTTATGTCCTAATTACTTAGATTCCCAATAGTTTTAGATATTACTTCCTATATCATATTTCATACTTAGGATACATGAGTTTAAATCTGTGAGATACATGTATCTGCCGAATTTAAAATCGAGATACATATTTTATTTGTGTAAATTAATAGGTTGTAACTGATTTCCTTAATATAAGACGAAAATCAAGGAGTGTATTTATGTTTAATTAATTTCATTTTATTATTATTTGAAATAATAAATTCGTTAATATTATTAATAAAAGACAAAAACATGTATATCTCGGTCATGCAATTTGATTAATTTCATTTTATTACTCTTAAAATAATAAAATCCATTAATTTGATGTATCTATTATCAATATATGATGTATCCAACAAACTAAACACTTAGATACATGAGTATCATACAAGTACATTCATATGTATCATAGAAGTATCTAATATTAATTTTGTGTATATTTTATATGTGTCTAGTATTAATTTCATGTATCTATTTATATGATATAATATTAATTTCATGTATCTATTTATATGATCTAATTTTAATTTCATGTATCTTTTATATGTATCTATTATTAATTCGATGTATCAACTATCAATTTCATACATTATATTCAAAATCATGTATCTTGGATACATAGTAAACGCACATATAATTATGTGTATCTAAATATGAAATGTAATTGAAACACACGAATTTAGGAACAAATCACAACTGTGGAGTATTTGTCTTATCATTAATCCAAAAAAAAGTTAAAAAATTCAAAATTCTTCCTTTCTTTAAGGATCTGAAATTTGTTCTCATAGATGCATATAATCTTAACTCAGATACATGAACTCTTAACTAGATACATGTACACCTGATGTGTATCCAACATTGTTGCACTTGATGTGCATCTAATGGTATATTTTTTTCTCTTAATTAAAGCTCGGCGTAATTCTTCATCTTGATTGAGTCATTCTTATTCTTAGATCTATTCTCGACTTGAATGTTGGCGGATGAAGAGTCAGTCCCTACAATGAGAAATTGATGAGTGAAAATGAGCAAATAAAAGTTGTTTGATTTAGTATAGTATTGTTAATGTGTAGTACCTTTGACGAGAATCATCCGATTTTTGGGAATATTCAACCATTAAAATATCCGAGAAACAACAAAATCAAAAAATATAAAACCTAATTTGTAAAATTCTATAAAATTGAACTTCAGAACATTGTGAACTCTAACTCAGATACAAAATCAAAATACGTGAGAATAATAAAATAATTGAAACAAACCTATATGTATAATGTTGATTTGATTATGCAAACATATATTGAGAGGATGAATGAAGAAAGAGGGAAAAGATGAATTAAGGAAGAAGGGGGGATGGGCTTACGGAGGAAACGGCATATGTAAAAAAAGAAGAAGATGATTTGACTTGTTAATGGATATGGACCATTAATTAAGGAGTAGATAATTATTCAATTCCTTATGTAGGGTTAGTGTATCTGATTAAATTTTTTAAAATATATGATATAATTATTAAAAGTGGTAATATATGTAATTATTTTAAACTAGAGGTAAATATAGTATATATGGTAGTGATGTATGTGTAGTTATGTAGTTTATCCTAAATCCAATACACTTCCATAATGGCCCAATACATTGAGCCCATGTATATAAAAATCCGGCCCAGTTAACTCTTTTAGTAGCTTTCTACTCATTTCTCGGGAAAAAAAATATTCTTGCTCCCTACTCCAGTATTCGCTGTTACTATAAATTGATTACCGCGAAGACTCTCTCCCAAAATTCTCTGTAAATTTCTACACACGAAAAAAACGATTTGATTTTTACAAAAAATATTATTAATTAGTGAAAAATCAATTCTTCATCACTGCGGATTTGGTTTTCATTCGAAACTACGAATTTGTCGATCGTCATTTCAGGTCAGAGAGCTAATTCAATGGCTTTTTTTTTCTGTTTTCTGTTGATTTTAATACTATTTTTGTGGTTTTTTTCTATTAATTTTAGCGTACATTTGTTTGTTCAATGATTGTTCTTATTTGAAATGCATACATTGAGCATTTTACTGTATTTTGCTTGAGTTGAGGTAGTGCGAAATGATTTGGATTTTTGGATTAAGTTTTTGTTTGCTTGTATGGACTTGTGTTTATGGATGATAAGCAAATGGATACGTTATGTGTGATTTGGTGGAGAGAGCTGGTTATAGAAATAGAAACTGATTTTTTTGGATAATGAGGAGGAAATTGTTGAATTAGGAAATGTTTCAGTTGTAGTAGTTTTTGTAGATTGGGATGGTGTTATGGCATTGTGAAGGTTTCTGTAGCTGTGGAAGAAGGACTAGTGTGGATATGTGATTCAATGAGCACGCGGATTTGGCATTTTTGTTTGCGACATGGATTTTAACTTTTCTTTTGCGGGAGAAGCGAAGGGGAAATGGAGAGTGTTTAGTCTAGCAGAATGTAATTATTGTCTTTTATAGTGTGGATATGTGATTCAACGAATAGCTGATTTGGCGTTTTGGTTTGAGACATGGATTTTGCGGGAGAGGCAAAGGGGGGAAACAGAGAGTGTTTATTCTAACAGAATGTAATTATTGTCTTTTATAGTGTGGATATGTGATTCAATGAACAGTTGATTTGACGTTTTGGTTTGCGACATGGATTTTGCCTTTCCTTTTGCGGGAGAGGCAAAGGGGGAAATGAAGAGTGTTTAATCTAACAGAATGTAATTATTGTCTTTTATAGTGTGGATATGTGATTCAACGAATAGCTGATTTGGCGTTTTGGTTTGTGACATGGATTTTGCTTTCCTTTTGCGGGAGAGGCAAAGGGGGAAATGGAGAGTGTTTAGTCTAACAGAATGTAATTATTGTCTTTTAGCCACAGAAAAGAATTAATGTAATTGCTGTTTATCATATGAAGTTAGTGCATTCACATTGCACTGGTCCAGTTTTATTGTCATTTATTTAGTAATTTAAAATTTTTACAAGTGAAAGTTAAAATATTGGAAAGGGGAAGTGAAGTTTAGGGTGATGAGCTGGTTGTAGAAATTGAAATTTTTGGGATAATGAGGAAGAAGTATGATATGGAAATATCTTGCTTGTAGTAATTTTGGTAGATTGGGATGAGTGATATAACATTATGAAGGTTTCTGTAGCTGCGGAAGAAGGATTAGTGTGGATATGTGATTCTGTGAACAGCTGATTTGGCATTTTGGTTTGCCTCATGGATTTTGTCTTTCCTTTTGCAGGAGAGGCAAATGGGGAAATGGAGAGTGTTTATTCTAACAGAATGCAATTATTTTCTTTTAGCCACACAATTTTTAAAAAAAAATATAATTGTTTATCATCTGAAGTTAGAGCATTTACATTGCAGCTGGTTCAGTTTTATTGTTTTGTATTTAGTAATTTAAAAATTTTACACTTGAAAGTTGAAATGTTGGAAAGGGAAAGTGAAGTTTAGGGTGAATTGAATTGCAGCACGATTTGTAACATGGATACATGATAGTTACTAATAACTGTTGTGGAGAAGATTGGTATAGACTGATAATGACTTTCTCATTCAGATTCAATTACATCAACTACGAGTCCTTTTTTTGGCTTGCGAGGAGGTGGTTATAATGAGGAAAGAAGAAAATAAAACTGAAATAGATTCATATGCTGTTTAATTAGTTGATCCAAAAAATTCTGTTAAGTGAAATGCTTATATGATTCCATGTATTTAGTTAATTATGATCTTTTATTCAGTATATTCTGTTCTATTGGTCAGGCTGGCGTCAGGCAAAGAATTTCTGGGATATGTTATATGAGCTGTATGCAAAGTAGAAGAAGTTTTTGCTAATGGCTTCAAGAGCAATATTGAGAAGGAAGAGGAACCTCTTTGATTCTACTCCGAAACCTCATACCTTCATTCGAGGTTTTTCGAGCTATGAGAACTGGGGATCATCTAAGGCGTCTAATTCTTGGGATTGGTGCTCTACAGTAACTCATCAACCTCAGAATGCAGATAACAGAAATGAAGGAAGTTCATATCCGTCAACCAAAGATGAGTTACTAAAAGTTTGGGGAAAACATGTCCTACTCAACTCATCTGAAATTCCAGCCTTGGGTTTGAGAGTTGGAAGATGTGGGTCTCTTCCTACTTTGGGGGGCAGGTGGATAATACACCAACAACGATATTCGACAGCTGCAGCAGGTCAACCTGATTTTGGTAAAGGAAATGATAAGGATGCAGAACCAGCTGTTAAACAGAAGAAAGAAGCTTCACCAGAAGAATGCGATGAAGCAGTTGAAGATTTAACCATGGCCAAAGCCAAAGCAAAAGCCAAACAGCTTCAAGATTCACAGATCAGTATTAAACCTGTACTAAAGAAAATTTGGGCAATGCTATTAGGGATTGGTCCTGCTTTGAGAGCTGTTGCTTCAATGAGCAGGTTGAAATTATACTTTATTCCTGTAGAACAGATAGGTAATGTTCTATACCTTTTTCTTAAGTCACTTTTTCACTTATTCCAGGGAAGACTGGGCAAAGAAGATCCGGCACTGGAAGGATGAATTTAAATCAACTATGCAACACTATTGGTTGGGTACCAAACTGCTTTGGGCTGATGTTAGGATATGTTCCAGGCTCTTGTTGAAAACAGCTAAGGGGAAGAGTCTTTCCAGGAGGGAAAGGCAACAACTAACACGGACAACAGCTGATATTTTTAGGCTGGTTCCTGTTGCAGTGTTTATTATTGTTCCATTTATGGAGTTCTTGTTGCCAGTATTCTTGGCAGTGTTTCCCAACATGCTGCCGTCAACCTTCCAAGATAAGATGAAAGAAGAGGCAAGGATTGTGCCAATTATTCCAGTGGCTATTTTCTTATGTGCTAAAATTTATTGATGCTTCATTCCTCTCTCTATCTCTGACGCCAGAATTTGTGACAGATTCCATGTGCATGCAAAATTATAAGTAAAATAATGTCAACTAAGATAGTAAAACTATGAAATATTTTTTCTTTGAAATAGGAAAGATATTGATTTGCTTTCTTCCCTATTTCCTTCAAAGAAAAATATCCTCTATTATGGCTTGACTTTTCCCTTGATTAGTCATCTGCGCTCATTATTAGTGTTTCCTTTCAATGTTAAACTCCTTTAGTCGCTTAATTTGAAGGATATCTGTGAGGCAATGATACGCTTCGAAAAAACCCTTTACCTAGCTACCATTGCTCTCCCTTTTCTGTAGTGTAGATATTCCACGATGTGTGCTCTCTTTGTCTTTGTGGAAGATTAACGATTGGAACACATGTAATACTTTACTTCCTGAATTAGCATGTGCAGTTTGTCAAGATTGCTATCCTTGACAAATTCAATTGGAAGAGGTATAGGCTTTTTATAATCCAAATCTCTTGGATGTAAGTCAATTCTCAAGATATATGAGTCCTTGGATATAGAAGGGAAGAAAAGGCTTTGTGGTAAAGTTATGGAAAAACATTATATCCTCTTTAGCTCTTTAACATATCAGTGGATTGGTGTAGGGGGCAAAGCTTTTCATTTGGTTATTGTTTCATTTTAATCTAGAGCTTTCTGTGCTTCGTATAGTCAAATCTTCTGCAGGTTGTATTATACCTTAGAGTATTGTATATTTTCTTTGGTATAATTATTGGGCATCGCCGATCCCTTTATCTTCAGGTAAATGCTCAGAAGGCTAAATTATATACATATGTCTGCTCGTGAAAGTGTGTAACAGGGAGAATCCAGTTATAGGTGTTTCGACAATATTTGGTTGAAGTTTAAAAAAATGCCATGTTGAAGTTAAAAAATGTACCATGCCAAAGTAAAAAAAGAGTGTGGAAGTTGTATAGTATCTTTAACTAACAATGGGTGCCTCTGGTCGGTTGGATGTGATTTTGTAGGCTTTTTATTTCCATCAAACTCTGTGTATGCATGTCCTTATTGTGTTTCAATTGCTCAAAATTTAGGAGGCTCTGAAAAGGAAGCTGAATGCTAGGATCGAATATGCTAAGTTTCTACAAGAAACAGTCAAAGAGATGGCAAAGGAAGTTAAAAACTCACGAAGCGGAGAACTAAAGAATACAGCTGAGGATCTTGATGAATTCATGAATAAGGTAAAATATTTATTTGTCACTTCTCTTTTGGGTTTTTCTTTCATCTGTATTTTTCTGCAATTGGCAAATCTTGAATTATTAAACCAAAGAGCTCTTATTTCTGCTCTTCCCCCTCCCTTTCCTATCTGACTACTGTAAATGTAAATGTTGATATAAAAATTGACCAGGTCAGAAGGGGTGCTAGTGTATCTAATGAGGAAATTTTAGGATTTGCCAAGCTTTTCAATGATGAGCTCACTCTGGATAATATCAGCAGGTTTCTACCTTATTACACTTTCTTGGTTTTGTTCTTACTAAATGGTAACGTTCTTGCATATATTGCTAATGGTTAAAATATTGTAGTGCATTGCTAAGTACTCATTAAATGCAGACCGAGGTTGGTGAATATGTGCAAATATATGGGTATTAACCCCTTTGGAACTGATGCATACTTGCGGTTCATGCTTCGAAAGAGGCTCCAAAAGTAAGTCTCGTTACTTTTCATTTTGAGCTAACTTGGGTGTAATATTTTATATCCTTTTCTCTCCAAATTATGTTCTTTATCTTTCTTCTTCAACAAATATTTTGCCAGCTGATCTCTGTTTTCCGTTGTACTTCTGAATAACTCAAGCCTAAATAGTTCATCTATCTTTTCTTCCTTCTGTTGTGCCTTTTTTTCTTTAGTATAAATTGGTCTTCACTATTACGGGTTTTCATTTAGAGTTAACTTATGTCTAGCCTTTCTCTCCAAATCATTTTTCCCTTCTTCAACAAATATTTAGTCAGCTGATCTCTATCTCCTTTTAAATTTAATAACTCGAGCCTAAATAGGTCATTTATCTTTTTCTTCTTCAGTCTGCCTTTTATATTAGAAATAGACTGATCTTCACTATTATGGTCAGTTTGTCTAAGAACTGATTTTCATTCTTATGGTCAAAGACATAATATATAAACGCACCCTACTTGGCTTCAACTGACATCTATGCCCTCCAACTTTGGGTGTGCATAAATAGACACTTAAATTTGTATAGAGTTGAACAATTAGCCACACCCATCCTACATGACAATTCGCGTGAGATCAATTGATTTGTATTATGTCATGTAGGACGCGTGTATCTGCTTATTCAACTTTATAAAAGTTTACGTGTGCACACCCAAAGTTGAAGGGCATAGATGCCAATTGAGGCCAAGTTAAAGGACACATTTGTGCTAGATTTCCACTTGATCTTTGTGCTTACGTCTTCATTTTGGAGATAAGTCAATATTTTGTGATGAATGTGCTGTAGAAGCAGAATTTCCCCTCATTTAACTGAACTTTGCTGCTTTTGGTAGGATTAAGAACGATGACAAGATGATTCAAGCAGAGGGTGTAGAGTCCCTTTCGGAGGATGAGCTCCGTCAAGCCTGTCGAGAACGAGGCTTACTTGGATTACTCTCAGTAGAAGAAATGCAACAGCAGGTATGCTTTGATCTTTTGTTAGTCTCGTGTAAAATTTTTACTCGGGGAAATTAACTACTTCCATCTCTAAATTTTGTGCATTTATTCTTACCTTGTGCATAGTGGTTTGCACCTTATTTCTGCACCTTTTGGTGTCTTTATTTTTGCAACTCTGGTGTATCTTGCAGAAACTACTGGATTTGGTCAAATTAGTTAGATTTTGTAGTTAGTATAGTAATTTGAAGCAACTTAATGAGAAACTTGATATGTTATTTATTACTTTCGAAGTACTCTTTGGCTTTGGAAAATTTAAAATTGACAAGTATTTATCCAGAGAATTGTGTGTTATTCCAAGTGGTCTGATACGACTCTATCCCTTATTTCTTTTTTATATAGGTAAATCTTTATTGGAATGTTGGAAAAGTAAAACCTCATAGATGCATACAAAAAGTAAAGAAACCTACATCAAAATCTAGTTCTCTACAAAGAGCCTCTTGTCATCAGCAGTGACTAGAGAGTATCACACCTGCTCCAGAACTTCATGGAAAAACAAAAAAATTTCACCAACAACAACAACATACCCAGTGAAATCCCACTAAGTGGGGTCTGGGGAGGGCAGAGTGTACGCAGACCTTATCACTACCTCGTGGAGGTAGAGAGGCTGTTTCCGGAGGACCCTCAGCTCAAGTACGACAACCCAAGTAAAAGAAGAGAAAACATTATATAAGACATAGTATCCAATAAGAGAAAAGTGCATAATCAACAAAGGAGACAATAACATCAAGAAAATACTGTGAGAGGTGAAACGCAGTAAACGACAACTGGCTATAGGATCACAGACAAGAACTACAAGAGCAAGGCTAGGACTACTACAAACGCTACCCACCGAAACCCTCGCACGGAAAGACAACACGCTAGCCCTACTAACCTTCAACCTTAATACGCGACCTCCACTCCTTCCTATCTAGAGTCATGTCCTCGGTAATGCGAAGCTGAGCCAAGTCCTGTCTAATCACCTCTTCCCAATACTTCTTAGGCCTACCTCTACCCCTCCGCGTACCCTCTACAACCAGCCCCTCGCACCTCCTCACTGGGGCGTCTTGCACCGTCTCTTCACATGCCCAAACCATCTCAGTCTCGCTTCCCTCAGCTTGTCCACCACAGAGGCCACTCCCACCTTCTCTCGGATAACCTCATTCCTAATCTTATCGCTCCTAGTGTGCCCACACATCCATCTCAACATCCTCATCTCCGCAACATGCAGTTTTTGAACATGTGAGTTCTTGGCTGGCCAACACTCCGCTCCATACAACAAGGCCGGTCTAACTACCACTCTGTAGAACTTACCTTTAAGTTTCGGTGGAACTTTCTTATCACACAAGACTCCAGAGGCAAGCCTCCATTTCATCCAAGCCGCCCCAATGCGATGTGTGACATCACCGTCTATGTCACCACTTCCTTGGATTACAGCCCCAAGATACTTAAAACTTTCTTTCTTAGGAATAATCTGTGTGTCAAGTCTCACTTCCTCATCTGCCTCATCCACCGCATCACTGAATTTGCATCCCAAATATTCAGTTTTGGTCCTACTCAACTTGAACCCTTTGGACTCCAGCGTTTGTCTCCACACCTCCAGCCTCGCATTAACTCTGTCCCGCGTCTCATCAATCAGTACTATGTCATCCGCAAATAACATACACCATGGTACCTTCTCCTGAATAGACCGCGTCAACTCATCCATCACCACAGCAAATAGAAAAGGGCTAAGGACTGATCCCTGATGCAGCCCTATCTCAACTAGGAAATGTTCCGAGTCTCCTCCAACCGTCCTAACCCGAGTCTTGGCTCCACCGTACATGTCCTTTATCGCCCTAATATAAATCATCGGGACACCTTTAGCCTCCAAGCACCTCCAGAGGACATTCCTCGGTACTTTGTCATAGGCCTTTTCAAGGTCAATGAATACCATATGTAGGTCTCTCTTCCTTTCTCTATATTTTTCTACCAGTCTTCGCATAAGATGAATGGCTTCGGTAGTCGATCGACCCGGCATGAATCCAAACTGATTCTCAGAGATGGACACCCCTCTTCTCACCCTCATCTCCACCACTCTTTCCCAAATCTTCATAGTATGGCTTAGCAGTTTGATACCCCTGTAGTTGTTACAGTTTTGGATATCACCCTTGTTTTTATACAACGGAACCATTGTACTCCACCTCCATTCATCAGGCATCTTTGTTGTCTTAAAAATAACATTAAACAGCCCAGTTAACCACTCTATACCTGCCTTGTCCATGCTCTTCCAAAATTCCACCGGAATCTCATCGGGTCCGGTCGCTCTTCCCCAATTATACAAAAGTATTTTAAGTCTCTCAAACAATCTTCTGGTCCTTTCTCTTTATATTCTTCTTGAAAAGGTTATTCAATGCTCTTGAAAGCAAGGGACACATCTCTTGGTGCTTTTGACTTTATTGTATGGTGGGGGCAAATCTTTCTTCTATCCTAAGACTTCATCTTTGTTCCCTCCCAATCCTCTTGTTTCTATCCTATAGGATCCCCTCTCCCTGCTCTATGTGTGTCTTGTCAATTACTGCTGTTTGCTCGCTGGATATGCAATGCCTGGTATTCCCCTAAATCTTTTGCTAGCTTTATCTTTCAGCTGGCTTTGGATACAATGTACTCCTTCCTTCCCAGCGGCCTGAAATTGCCACTAGATTTTGCATCAGTAGGTTCAAGTAAATTTTTATGGGATATATGGTTTTTCAGAAAATGTCAACCAGGCTGGTATTTGTGCTACAGTTTTTCTTTTTGATAAAGTAATAAGTTTATTGATGTTTGGGAAAAAATCAACACTATACAAGAAATATTTAAGGGAAAAAGGACAAATATAACCCTGAACACGTAAATGGTATGCAGATACCCTCCGTCATACTTTTGGGACATTAGTGCCCCTGCCGTCCAAAAACTAGAGCATATATGCCCTTCACTCTAATGGAAGATTAAATAGGGACACGTGGCGCAATCTTATCCGTCGATCCGATATTTAATAAATGTCGGGTCAATGGATAAGATTATGACACGTGTATGTCCGTTAGTATAAAGGGTATATATGCTCTAATTTTTGGACGGCAGGGGGCACCAATGTCCCAAAAGTATAACGGAGGGTATCTGCATACCATTTATGATAGTTTAGGGGTATATTTGTCCTTTTTCCCAATATTTAAAAAAGGTAAAAAAACCTGCAAAAAGATTTGTTTTTTAATAACGATACCCAATCTTCTATGATAAAGGAACTTCATGGGTGCACCATACATAACAAGGAATAAGAGGAACTTCTCAGTTGTACAAAGTTCATCTCTACATCTTCAAAAGCTCTTATTTCTCTCTCCAAGTGGCTTACATAAGTGCTAGTGGAGCAACATTCCATGGCTTGTTGTCTTCTCTTTCTTCTGCCACAATTCCAGCTGAACATTGCCTTTTTTGCATTGCCTGTGATCACCCAAAGTATTCAAAACCACCTCAGGAGTAGCTTGAAGCTATCGGACAATGTAAGAAAGTGCTTTAAGTACATCAAAATATGGGACACCTGATGGTGTTCATATTATATGCAAGGATCTATTGCCTTTGAATGGAGTATATGCCGGAACAATTAATCTGAAAAAGAGAAGAATGATATCTGGACAGCAAATTCACTGTTGCTTCTGTTTCGCTCCTTTTATTTTCTAGAAAGAATATTTAAAACAGTCCTAATATCATCAGCATGCATATAGACATGAAGTAGTTGAGACCTTGACAAACACAAGCTAGTATATATGGTAATGTATTTATTTTACAGCAGTTTGGAAGCACAACACACTGCATTTCCTTCTCATTCTCCAGTGCTAGCATATTCAAATCCTGCTTGTGAACTTCAATATGTTGGCTTCATTATGGAAGTGCAAAAGACTTATCTTGAATTCTTGCATGTTAATATCTTTGCAGTTGCGAGATTGGCTGGACTTATCGCTCAACCATTCAGTGCCATCTTCTTTGTTAATCCTTTCTAGGTAATTCCATTCCACATTTCCAGGATCTTGTGCTATGGACTATCAACTGAGCATGTGACTGTGCTGTTTTATTCTCCACAGAGCCTTCACAGTGTCAGGTAAAGTAAAACCGGAGGAAGCTGTTCAAGCTACACTTTCATCACTGCCAGATGAGGTGGTGGACACTGTTCAAGTTACATCTATGCCATCTGAAGATGCTCTTGCTGAAAAGAAGAGAAAGCTAGAATACTTAGAAATGGAGGAAGAGCTCATCAAGGTAAAATCTTGTTTCTTCTATTGTGCTGACTGTTAATCTAAAAATGAATAAGTGGCAAGACAAATTAATGGGAATGCGCTCTTGCTAGTGAATGATATAGTGAACTAAGCACTGCTTCTATCCCTCTGTCCTTTTACTCTTCTATTTGAACTTTATGGGTCATGAAACCTAATTATTATTTTAAACTATTGGGAAGAATTCATATTGGTCAAGTTTAGAATATTGTTTCCAGAATTAGTTAGCAATACTTGAAAGACGAATCATACTTTCAGCTTTTAATACGCTATGCCAAACTTAATGGCCTTGGTTAAGTGAGAGAAAATGTAGATTTTTCTTATAAGCAAATTCTATAAAGTGCTACTCGCTAAAATAAGTCACATGGAACTTTTTCAGTATAACCCTTTCATCTCCATTTTGTTAAGAGAGAAGTTTAGTAGTTGGCTCAATTTTAACATCACTGTTATTTAAATTTACCATCCTGTTATTGAAAATTTATACGTGCAACCCGGGAGGGATAATACAGAACTCCTCTTTTTCATGTGCTTGATACAGTTGCTAATCTTCCTAACCCAATTCCTGACCAGTTCTTTTTACAAGCATCTTTCTTACCTTTTCGGTGCAAAATCTTAAATGTGGATTTTAGTTTTTTGAAAATGGTAGTGTGTTTGTTATATTCATCAGCGCCACAAATAAAGGCCTGGTATATCATATCTACAGTTACAGTCCCTAACAAAAATGTACAATGAGGCCAAAAAGTCTAGTAATGATTCTGCATCATCTTGTGGCTGATCTTTACACCAAAAATAAAAAAGAGATTTACAAGGACTCTTGATCTTCTGGGATTGAACTGCTCTCGCTTTCAAAACATCTAGCATTCTTCTGTTTCCAAATTGTCCACCATATGCAAACTGGAAAAACTTTCACCACCCTTTGTGATAAGTTTTTCCTTGATGCCTTTCCAACTACATGTAAGGTCAAAAGTACTCGGGGCATCACCCAAACTATTTTAGCTTGAGCTGCAAAAAGTTGCCATAGTTATCTGGTAATTGAACAGTGTAAGAAAAGATGCTCATTGGTTTCAGCTTCCTAATGACATAGAAATCACCTATAGCTGAGCTGGAAACCCCTTCTCTGAAATTTATCATGGTGAGACAAGCTTTCCTTATTACTAACCAAGTAAAGCATACCACTTTGAAAGGAGGTTTTACTTTCCATATCTCTTTCCACTGTAAATGTGGATACTACAGTGTCAGGTTTCAAATAAATTATGTGACGATGGTTGAAGATATCTGTTGACCATTTTGAAACTATACCTCTGATTTCGTAGCATTTGTAGGAGAAGCATCTTTGTGGAAGGAAAAAACTTTGTACATTTGAGGAGTAGCCTCTCATTCCTAGTCTCTTTATGGTGCACCCATGAAGTTACAATATGTATAGAAGATTGGGTGTCATAGAGAATCATATTATGCTGTAATTCTATACATTTTGGTTAACTGCTTGTATGTGTGTGATTTCCCCATTATTAATAAAATTATATACCTTATCAAAAAGTGTGTTTTTAGACTACTAATTCTAAAGTCGTTGCTTTTAGGAGGAGGAAGAGGAAGAAGAAGAAGAGCAGGCTAAGATGAAAGATAAACAGAAGGATGTAGCTTTGGAAGAGATGACTCTTGCAACAGCTAAAGAAGCAGAAGAACTAAAGAAAACAAAAACTTTGGATCAACAAGAGCAGCTTTGTGAGCTTAGTCGTGCAATTGCTGTTTTATCATCGGCTTCTGTAAGTACTTTGCTGGAGCTTTTCTTTTGTACATTGGATCTTGGATCTTTGCTGATCATGGCCTGCTTTGTTGCTTATTCTTTCAGTCCGTAAGCCTGGAGCGTCAGGAGTTTTTGAGACTTGTCAAAAAAGAGGTAACATATCATTGCTTGATTATTACTGTTGTGAAATATTTTAACATGCCTGATAAGGAATTTAAGCAAAAGGGAACTGTCTTCCTAGATTTCATGCTAAATCTGTTACTGTAGTTTTTGTTGTCTTTCTTGAAGAAACTAAACTGGAAAGCTTGCTTTTCGAAGTCAGATTATTGTGTTTATCATTATTTAAACAACGTGAATGTCTTTCCATTACTTGTCTTTCCAGTTTGAATGGGGTCTTGCAATGTCTACTAGTTCAATATTGTTCACATTAGGACTTTGGATCAATTTCCTTTTTAGAACTTAAATCACAATTAGCTTACGGTAGCTGTGGTTCTGATGGGAATAGTATGAATTTCTCCTGATTTCCAATACCTTAGTCATTCTGATGAAGTTTTGGGAATGTTCATCAATGGGATTTCAATTGTCCCTCTGATATCTGATACCACCGCACTTTATTATCTTATGCTTGTTTCAATATTTCGTAGTTGTGATATATTTGCCATTATTGATATTTAAAAAAGATTACATCGAGCATTTTGTTAAGCACTTTTGCAATAATACCTGTTAATCATCAGCATTACGTGAGGTTTAATTAGTACCTTTTGAGGTTATTATGTAGCAATATTGGTGATGGTGCAATCGAATTTACTGCCTCTTGTTATTTTGATCTTTCAGCATCAGTCATGTGATTATGTGTCTATATAGATTCTCCTTCTTTCAATTACTCAATGTACCTTTTTCATGAGGAGCTATCTGTTCTAGGATTCTAACTGGGGCAGGTCATAGATTACAAAACTTAAAAGAGCAGCAGGCATTAGACAGGTTTTGGACAATGGAAAATAATTGAATGTGTGTTCGGGTACCCAACTTGCTTGCTTGCTGTTCTTTTAGGTCTACTGCAGTATTTGATCAAGTTTCTATTATTCAAAGATAAATGTGGTAGGTAAAGAGGATGGAAGATGATTTTGAAACTTTAAACTTTCATGTGTTACCTTCTGGGTCGAGCTCGTCGCACCGGGTTTGCCTAGTGCGGGTTACCTCTCCTATGTGGTTTGCGAGCTATTGTATCGGAGCGGGGGTTTTACCCTATGCGCACCCAAAGGGTAGCGGCTGCGGGTTTCCTTGTCATCAAAAAAAACTTTCATGTGTTACACTTTATTTATCCCTCGACTGCTTTCAGCCACCTTGTCCTCTTGCAATCATATTCGTAGGTGCTTTTCTACTGTGGTTAGAAATTGTTTACACAGCATAGTGCGTGCGTATGCTAATACAATGAAAATGCTACACATTCAATGTTGAAGCTGTTTTTGTATCGATAATTGCAGATTGAGTTGTACAATAGCATGGTGGATAAAGGTGGCCCTGAAGGTGAAGAAGAAGCCCGAAAGGCATATAAAGCAGCTAGGGAGGAGGACAGTGACCACACTAAAGAAAGGACTGTAGATGATAAAGTTTCTTCAGCACTTATTAATAGGGTAAAGCTGATTATCCTAGGAGTATTTAGCTTTGGGCTTTAAATTTTCACACCAATTCTTGATTTCCTTTTTGCATTATAGTTGCAAGATTATATCATGAACACTCATATTACCTCCTGGCATTACCACTCAACAGGTTGATGCAATGCTCCAAAAACTTGAAAAGGAAATTGATGATGTGGATGCTAAGATTGGTGATCGTTGGCGGTTACTGGATAGGTATGTACAGAGAAACTAATAATATGGATTACAAATTGCACTCAAGGTACTATCCAAAAATCTACAAAGAGGCAGTTCTAAGCAATCTGAACACAATCTCTATATTTCACCCGAGTTTAATATCAGCTATTGCCCCACTGCACAACATAGATAATAACAAATTTGCAAGTGAACATTGAGGTTTTCATATCCAATAAATACATGTTCTGCTCAGCTTGTTCATTTGAAGTAATTTCAGCATGATCACCTATATCAATTTATAACTGTTCTCACCTACATGTTCTAAATCATGAGGAAATTTTGGGGTTGTGGAGTTCTGGCCATTAGCCACTGATGGCTGTTCTGGGACACAAGCCTGTTGGTATTTATTCTCTCTTAGATAATGTAGTATATGGAGTATCTTATGTTTCAGAAAATCGTGGAATGAAGTGCGAATCTCAGATGAATAAATCCAGTGGATGTCAATGCATCTGTGCATCCTGTCTCTTTGGTTAATGCAAATATTAAAATCCTTCTTTTTTTGTGGTTTGGGGAAACACTTACATCTATTTATTTCATAAAGATATGACCTGTTTTATCTTGCTGAACTATCAATCATACAAAAAGAAAAAAAAAATTCTTCATGGAGAAATCTTGTTTATTTTCATCCATCTTTTTATAACCCGTGGTGTCGTGCCAGGTTGCGTGCTTTGGAGAAATTTTGTTTATTGTTTCTTCTTTATTACTTTCTACTGGTTTTAGTTTCCACTGGAAGTAATATTGGAGAATGAAGTAACTGTTGTGCTTCTTGCGGCAGGGATTATGACGGAAAAGTCACTCCAGAGGAGGTGGCATCTGCTGCTTCATACCTCAAGGATACATTGGCGAAGGAGGGTATTCAGGAGCTCATAACCAACCTTTCCAAGGACAGAGGTTAGACATGAGTAGTTTGATAATTCTTTTTTTTTTTTTCTGTTTTATAACGGGTGTTTTTTACAACTGTAATGAAACGTGGTTATGGTTATACCTCCCAATATCTGCTGTATTTTTTAGGACCTAGGGGGATAAAAGAGATAACCTAGCATAAGAAAGTAAGATTTCGATTGACATTTTGAAGTTGGTGATTGCTTGATGAAGCATAAAATACATCACTTGTCAAAGCAAAAAATAGTAATAATACGTACCGCTTTTAATTAGTTTCCCAGTAAACACCAAACAGTCCAATCATTTAGCTTTTCTCTTAATCCACATATATGTTTTGAAATGGAAGGAGTCTGATGGTAGAATCTTTGTTTATGAAAAATCACATTATAGTAGTACTTTTATTACAAAAAGATTGATGTAACGTAGTTACGTACTAGTAATTTGTAGTCTATTTCTTTTTCTATGATTCGATTTGTTGTATGTACATGTTTCTATCATACTTTAACTACTACTCAGAAGGAATATACTTTTAAAAAAACTGAAGAATGTACATTTGAAAATTTTATTTTCTACAAGATAACATTATTGTAATACAGATCAAAAGGAGAATCTGCACATCAATTGGGAATAGTTTGGAGCGATAGATCACTCAATTAATGAACTGTATACATACACGAAATCATTGCTAGCTTTCACATTTTCTTTTCAAAAAGAAAACAAAAAAGGAGGTAAATTTGGGTCCATGTTGAGTGACTTAGGGGTCATTTGGTAGCTGGATAGAGTTATGTAGATATTAGTAATGTGGGTATTAGTTTCTTGGCTTCGATGAGTAGCACGATTTTTTGTGTTTTATGATAGTTCCTGTTTGACATAAGAAGCTCCCAACTATATCTGGAGATTAAAAAGTCAATTTGACTTGCCTATTATAATGGTCGTAGATTGAGATATTAACAATTGTTGATTAGACCTTGAAAGCATGATTACGAGGCTTGGTTTGAATCTTACTGTGAAAATATTGCTGTCATTTTAGAAATGTCAGGTGTCACTAAATAGAAAATGTTGCACATAATTGGGACAGAGGACTTTATTTTATTTATTTATTAACTTTCCGCAGTGGATGTATGTGTTCCTTACTAGTATCTTTTTTGTGTTTTAATTGGTATATTTAACAGAAGGAAAAATCCTTGTCCAAGATCTGGTGAAGTTAGCCAGTGAAATAGAACATGCTGAAGAGGAGGAAACTACAGAAGAGGAAAAAGCTCAAAAATAAAACCCATACGGTGATAGTTTTGATCCATTTACTGCTAGCCATGTTAGTCACCAACCTTCCATTTTATACTAAACGCGTTGTGCTTGGTATCTCATCCGGACAGGTATCAACGTAGGTCCTTATGTGGCTGCTTGTAGTCGAATATATATTCGATTGATAAAATGCACTCAGATTCAATTTCACAATAGCTAAAATGTGCATGTATATGGCTGTGTCAACACTTGAATATTCATCTCTACCCTGCCTCACCCTTAGCTTTATATTGTATCTCTACAGTGGAGAACATAGCAATATCGTTTATTACCGGAGTAATTTGAGAAACCCCGGTTCAAGTTTTAACTCTTTAAGGTGACAATCATAAGATTTGTGAAGAGTTTGGTTATGGTTTGTTTATCTTTCAGAAGGAAATCTATATGTTTTGATTCAGTTTTGGCATATTGACTGTTTTTGCAGCAACTGCTACATGTTTATCCCAAGCTAGTCTTGAGTTGTATTTTGATTTATAAAGAACGATTCTTTTGAAGTTATACATAATCTCCAATAAGCAATGGCATGCGGAAAGGCTCTAAGTGCATACTCTTTGAGCATCCGGACAGAATGATCGATATTCACATCTCTCTCATTTTCAGTGATTTTGCTGTAGTTAAGCGGATTCACCTCATATCGGGTGAACTAATTTTTTTATTTTTTAATTCATCACATTTTTACTCTTATAAGTAATATAAAAATAAATAAATTTCCCAACAATATTATACTAGATGTACGTGTATAATAGAAATAATACGTTTTCACATAGTTATAACTCAGCACAACTTGTGTAGAATCAATTTGCAATCATATTCGGATTGGTAGCATAAACTTTTTTTATTTTTAATGACAAGGGAAATCCGCAGTCGCTATTTTTTAAGTGTGTACAGGGTAAAATCCATGCTTCTATGCAATAGCTCCCAAACCATATAGAAGAAAATTTGATGCTCCAAAGTCTAAATTGTATTTTATTTTCTTATGTTTGGTAAGTAAAATAAAAAATGTTATTCAAAAAGTATTTATATATAATTTATATAAGGAGAAATTGTATGAAATAACAAACTATTAATTCAAATTAAATGTTATAGCCATAGTTTATTTTATTCGTAATTCGCAGTAAACATCCCATTTTTTGCCATCTAATTCAATATACAATTAGCCATTGCGTTTGTGTTTATATATACAAATACAAATACATATATTTGCGTCCTATACACTTGTAATTATATAAATACAGATCTTATTATACAAATTACAATGTATAAATGAATTTATACAAAACCGAACAATTTGTATAAAATTGGATGTATCTAGCGAATTATACAAATCAAAAGCTCCATAGCAAACATAAAATTTGTTATGGAGCGCAATTATGCAATCTACAGATATAACATATAAATTTAATTTTTATGTTTGTTATATGTGAAAGTTGTTCTTTATATAAATATTATGAGAGGCAAGTGTTAGGGTGGGGATGGTGGGTGATGAGAGTATAAAAATTATTTTCCTACGTCCATCATACATGTACTTTTTTTATTTTTAAGAGAGTTGTTTTCCTACTCAACAACTTTAGCCAATCAAACATTGAAATAGAAAATTGGGAAACATATTTTAAAAATATTTTCCTCCATATCAGACACAACCTTAGCGTATTTTTTCTTAAATTATTCTAAATATATAATTCTTAATCACTAAAATTGATGTTGTATTTTTAGAAATTACTAAAATGAATTAATTGAGCGGAGAATCTATTAAAAAATAACTTCTCTATCTTATTAATTTACTGGGGAAAAAAAATCTTATTAATTTAACTTTTTTCATATTCCAATCGTGAAATTACACTCGTGTACCAAAAAAGCAAAATAAATACTTAATTGAAAGGGTTTAAAATGTAATTGCATTTCAGCCCAGCCCCACAGTGGATCCTCTTTCTCCCGCAAAATGCAGTTTAATGGAAAACCTTCAGCTCAGTCACTATTGCCATGGCCACAAAAGTACAAAGAAATCTCTCAGTTTTATACAGTAGAAGACAATTCTCCGTCGCCGGAGCTGCATACGCTGGTAAGAGCTCGACGGCGGTGGCATCTAAGGTCGGAAACTTACTCGTCGTCGCTTCAATTGCAAAAGCTTTGATAAAGCCAGGAGGAACACGTAACCTAGAAAAGTATGGAGATTCAATTCCCTTATCAGAAAGCCTAGTCCTTCAAGTTCTCCGCCGCAACAATTTGGATGCTGAAAAGAAATTAGACTTCTTCAAATGGTGTTCTCTCAGGCCTAATTTCAAACACTCTACTGAAACTTACTCTCAAATGTTCAAATCCATTTGCTATAGTCACAATCACCGGGAAGCTATTTTTGTATTGTTAAACTCAATGAAGGATGATGAAGTGTTGCTTAATTCGGCCACATTTAAGTTACTACTCGACTCCTTTACTCGAACTGGTAATTTCGATTCAGCTCTTGAGATTTTGGAGTTTGTGGAAGGATATTTGGATAATTCTAGTTGTTTAAGTCCTGATGTGTATAATTCTGTACTTATTGCTCTTGTACAAAAGAATCAAGTTAATTTAGCTTTGTCGATTTTCCTTAAATTGTTGGAAACTAATGATGGGAATAGCATTGGGGTTAGTAGTGCCGTTGCGTGTAATGAGTTGCTTGTTGGCCTTAAGAGGGGTAATATGAGAGCTGAGTTTAAACAAGTTTTTGATAAGCTTAGGGGAGGGAATGTGTTTCCGTTCGATAGATGGGGGTATAATATATGCATTCATACATTCGGATGTTGGGGGGATTTGTCTAGTTCTTTGAGTCTTTTTAAAGAAATGAAGGAAAGGGGAAGTTGGTTTAGTCCCGATTTGTGTACTTATAATAGCTTGATTCATGTGCTTTGCTTGCTCGGGAAGGTTAAGGATGCTTTTGTTGTGTGGGAGGAATTAAAGGGATCATCGGGGTTGGAACCTGATGCTTATACCTACCGAATCGTTATACAAGGTTGCTCTAAGGCTTACCTGATAAATGATGCGATAAAAGTGTTCACTGAGATGCAGTACAATGGCATACGTCCAGATACTATTGTTTATAACTCCCTCTTAGATGGATTACTCAAGGCAAGAAAGTTGACAGATGCATGCAATTTATTCCAGAAAATGATTGAAGATGATGGTGTACGAGCCAGTTGTTGGACCTATAATATTCTTATTGATGGCTTGTTCAAGAATGGGAGGGCTTTGGCTGCTTATACCCTATTTTGTGATTTGAAGAAGAAAAGTAATAATTTCGTGGATGGGGTTACTTACAGCATTGTCATTTTACATCTTTGTCGGGAAGATAGGCTTGACGAAGCACTGAAGTTGGTGGAAGAGATGGAAGCAAGAGGGTTTACTGTTGATTTGGTTACTATAACTTCTCTTTTGATTGCAATCTACAGGGAGGGACATTGGGACTATACAGAGAGGCTTATGAAGCACATCAGGGATAGCAATTTAGTTCCAATTATTATCAGGTGGAAAGACAGTATGGAGGCTACAATGAAAGCTCCACAGAGCAGAGAAAAAGATTTTACACCCATTTTTCCATCCAACAGGAACTTTGGTGATATTCTAGGCCTAGAAAACTTAACAGACGCTGAGACAGATACTTCCCTTGGGGCAGAGGATGGTGAGATACACTATCAGGAAAGTGATCCGTGGTCATCATCGCCATATATGGACATGCTGGCTAATAAAGTTAGCTCCCAAAGTAATTCTTCAAGAACGTTCTCTCTTACTGGAGGAAAACGAATAGACACTAAAAGTGCAGATTCTTTTGATATTGACATGGTGAATACCTTCTTGTCGATATTTTTGGCCAAAGGAAAATTGAGCATGGCTTGTAAATTATTTGAAATTTTCACCGACATGGGCGCTGATCCTGTTAGTTATACATACAATTCTATGATGAGTTCATTTGTCAAGAAGGGATATTTCAATGAGGCATGGGGCGTTTTACAGGAAATGGGCGAGAAGGTTTGCCCTTCTGATGTAGCAACGTACAATGTCATAATCCAAGGCTTGGGAAAGATGGGAAGGGCTGATCTTGCTGATGCCGTACTAGACAAACTGATGAAGCAGGGAGGTTACCTTGACATTGTAATGTATAACACCTTGATTAATGCCCTCGGGAAGGCTGGCAGAATTGAGGAAGTAAATAAGCTTTTCCAGCAGATGAAAGATAGTGGAATAAATCCAGATGTTGTCACTTACAATACACTAATCGAAGTTCATGCCAAGGCGGGTCAGCTTAAGCAATCTTATAAGTTTTTAAGGATGATGTTGGAAGCAGGGTGTGCTCCGAACCAGGTAACTGATACAACTTTGGACTTTCTGGAGAAGGAGATCGAAAAATTGAGATACCAAAAGGCATCCATGAAACGCCCAAATGTAGATAATCCTTTATGAGAAACAGCTTTACACTTCAGGGTAGGGAGTTCAGGTATGATGTTCTTCCATAAAATAGTACAAGTCAGCATTTGCATATTATTCAACATTGCTTAAAGGTTGTTCTTCTGGTTTAAAGTGGGCAATCTTTGAAGAAAAAGTAGTGGGCAATTCATATGGCTGGTATTCTGAATACAGTTCTTTTTTTCATGAATGTAAAAGCTGATAGGTTTTCAATAAATAACAAACCAGGATCTGCGTTGATTTCCTTTTAATACGTAGTCTGGAGATGAGAAGTTTGAATCACTGTTTGCCAATGATCTTGTTATTTATGTTTATAGATGGCTTTGCCTAAGCGGACATGTTTCTGATACATCACGACCACTTTTGAAGAAGTTGAGTATGTGAATGTTCATTGGTAGCACATCCTGACCTTCTAACACTAGAGTGTATATATTTCTAAGTTGAAATCAAATTATGTTGATGTTCAAATTTAGTTATCTAGGGCTGAAGTTAATTTCTACTTAATGGATAGATATTCAAGCTAAAAAAAATATCTATCTTTATGACCAACATTTACTTTTCGAGAATGCAATGGGATTGGTTAGAGCTCAAAATCTTGATTTCAGGTTTTTCCTGGTCCACTTAGTCTATATTACCTGTCATCCAGAGTTTAGATCAACTCAGGATTTGTTTATGGAGACTACCCTTCAGGGTGGCCCAATGGTTTGGGTTTGGGCTTGGGACTTTCATGTTGGAGGTTTCAAGTTCAAAACCCCTTGCCAGCGAAAGCAAGAGTTTGTCTTCTGGGTCGAGCTTGTCGCACCGGGCTTGCCTAGTGTGGGTTACCTCTCCTATGTGGTTTGCGAGCTATTGCATAGGAGCGGAGGTTTTACCCTGTGCGCACCCAAAGGGTAGCGGCTGCGGGTTTCCCTTGTCATCAAAAAAAAAAAAGGATTTGTTTATGGAGACTGGAAGCTTATAGCATACTAATGTACTCCTATAAGAACTATAACTGAAAGATTTGGAAAATCAATCTCCCTGCAGATACCCTTTATTGATAGATTCATAAAGTCTCCACGAGCAAGCTATCTTCTATCATTGTTCTCTTTTATTAACCTTGAAGGGATGCCAAATACAGTGCTAGAGTTCTCCAGAGATAGTATTCTTGTTTTGCTTGGTTAGTACTTAGTAAGATAGACTTTGCCTAACTTGTGGTTTAATGAAGAAACTGAAAATATCATTGCTATCTGAGAGACGAGCTCTGCCGGATAATTGTCCTCATTCTGTTTCCAATTTATGCCTCTTATGTTTTGCAAGCTCTATTTCTTGACATTTTCATTTGAACAAATTCTTATGTTTTAGGAGGCCCATGAAGAAGCTGAATTCATAGAGCTTGGAGTGTGTAGCGTTCAAAGCAAAAGTTAGTCCAAAAGGTTGTCAAACCCATTAAATTGGAGAAACGAAGAAGCAGCACATCAACTGACAGAAACTTGATGATGGCACAGAACTGAGCTCTCACAATGGCTGTTTCTCATCATAGTGGATTGCTTTGAAATGTTAAGTGTATGTTTGGTGCTCCTGCACAATGAGTTGCTGATGGCCATATTTGAGATGTCCGGGGGAGAATAAATGAACATGAGAGAAGGCGATGAAGTTATAATTGAGCTTGTCACTGGCGCATGCATCGGTTGGCAGAAAATACATGTGGATTGACACCTCATTCATTATTTTCACCTAAGAATAAGGTCAGCACATCCTAGCTGTCAATGAAGTGAGATGAAAATCATAAGAGACTAGGGTATGATTCCCAGCACTGTTAAAAACGTTAAGTGACTTCTTCCCATATGTGTAAGCATTGGTGAACAGAGTTATCTGGCACATGTACTAGCAGGTAAGATGTGTGTGAAGATTATGAGGAGAGCATTGTTACTCTTATGCCGAAATAGGTATGGCTTTTCTCAGAGAGCTAAGGCATTCAATGAAGACGTCATGAAATTGAAGGTCGAAGCAATGCCAAGCAGACACTCATCAAAATGCAAGTAATTGAAGTACATAATTATGGAGGTATGTACCAGTTGATTGAACAGTACCTGCTATGAACTTGGTCGAATATCTTAATTTGTTTGTACCATAGAACACATATGTATTTGTGTTGCTTCTTATTTCTACCATACTTGCTAGTTTTCATAAGAGTCGGATTGTATTTATTCATTCTTTCCCATTAAGCTCTACATCTAAGATTGAGTAAGGTTTGCGTACACTTTATCCTTTCGAAACCCCACTTTGTGGGACTACACTGAGTACGTTGTTGTTGATTCTTTCCCATTAGCTACTTGAAGTGGTGGATTTAGAGCTTAAGCGATAATTCACTAAATATTTACAAAAAACTAATTGTGGCTAATTTTGAACTCAGTTACTCCATTTATAATTCCAGGATTTACCAATACATCAAATCAAATATCTCAAATTTCATCCCGGGATAGGATATTTCAAAACCCCTTTTTAGTATAGAATTAGGTAGTGTTTGGTATGACGGAAGTCCTTTTTTTTAAAAACCCGAAGATATTATGTGATATTTGGCATTTCGTATCTTTGTTAGAGATTTTAATGAAACCACTACGTCAACTTCACTGATTCTAGAAGAGTATGTGATGAGTTTAACTTGTGTATTTTTCCTAATTGGCTAGCCTTTAAAAAGGAGATTGTTCAATCTAAAAACAGTGAATCCAAAAAGTGTAGAAAAATATAATCAACGTGAAAATGTCACTTTATTATGAAATTTATATGTAATCAAATGTAAAACTTTTCGAATATCAATATTTGTTAATTAATTTACATCATATGCATAAATAATTAATCTAGAATTCAATAACCTTTTTTTGCTAGATTTTATGATCTATAAACACTTCTAACTCTAAATATAGAAGAACACATTACACATAGCATTGAATTTCAATACTCATTTTTCATTAGCACCGACTCTTCTCCCAGGGGTCTTTCTGTAGAAACCTCCACTAACTATCGTCGCTTTTTGATGATTTCTACTTTTTTCACACCTCCAAATATCTGATGCAAAATTGTCGCCCCTTTTTTTATTTCTTTGATAATAAAGTCGGCTATCTTTGTGACATCGAGCTATCGTCTAACAAAAAGTTTATCATAATTTCTATGGCAAGGCCATGCAATGTTTTCGCAAAGAAAAACACCTCAATGACTTGGCCAACACGTTAACAAAGTGGGGCCTACTCGTCAACTCCATCAATTTCCCAGTGGGCCCACTCTCCTTCTTCTTCTTCCTGCTCTTCTCCAACGCCGTCGTATCTCCGCCGTCTTTACTCATCGGAATCACCGGTAGCGGCAGAGCACAACGACGGCGTCCCTGTCTTTGCTTAATTTCACTTAATTCCATTTCAGGATTAAACTTCACAGGTCCAAACATGAACCATTTTCTTCGAGACTTGGCTGACATAGACGTAAGTCCACTAATATTCACCCTCTCCTGCGAACTGTAAAATCGGGCCGAACTGGCCCGATTTTGATTATTCACCGGCGCAGTAATGTGCCGGTGAAACGAATTGGATCGAAATAACGGAGATAAATTTTTCTCCTGATCAACAGATTCATTTTCATGGCGAATTATCTTTCCACAGAAAATGATATCTGAAAATGAATGAGAAGATTCGTTAAGAAATTCGAAAAATTCTTCTGATGAAGAGGAAATTTTTGGACTTTCATATCCTTCATAATTATTCATTTGAAGATCACATAAAGAAATTGTTTCCAAATTTTCTATTTCTTCTTCTTCTTTTTGAGTTTCCTTTTTGTGTTTGAAAAACTTCATATTTTTTCTTAGTGAAAAAAAATAGTACTAATAATAATATGTTGTGGACTAGTGGAGAAGTGAATGATTATATATATATAAAATTTTGAAAATAACTGTTTGTTCATTTTTTCTTATTTTTATTTTATTTTTATCTCTCCCTTTTCAATGGAACTTGGGTGGAACGTAACGCCTTCTAGATAAAAAGAAATAGCACTACTAGTCTAGAAGAAAAGAAATTAAGGAGTTACATGCATAAATTATTACTACTAGTATTTTTCTTATACAACATTGAAAAAAATGAGAAATTAGCAACGGACAAAAAAATTTACCAATCAGAGTGTTGTAGTAATTTCATTCGGTGGCGAATAATAAGAAAATTCAGTTATCTAGCTTGTTGCTATTTAACAACTAATTAGTCAGGGATTATCAAATTACATAGCTTATTACTCCATATTTTTTAATAATGTCTAAATTCATCCTTACTTGATTAATATCGAATTTTAATTAAAGTTACTAAGTCCTATCGAGCGAACCCATGCTTAGAGTTACTACCAAACACTACATTTACTTTTTCTTAGTTTGGTTAACTAAATATGAAATTATTGTATGAAAAATTAAATATTTAAAACTTTTTTTTCAATACCTTTTGTCATCACATGATCCTAGTGGGGTGGAAATTAGAAACTAAAATAGGATTACTTTACTAGAAGAAAAAGACCGTGACGGGAATTAATGAAAGAGGTCAAATGAATGATGTGAAACATATGTATGATGTTAATTTAATTCTAACATCTAGAAGTGTTGAAAATAGTTATACGTGTCAATATAGTATGAGAGTGTCATAGAGATTCTGAAATCGAATCTCATTTTTATTGTATTCATGATCATAAAGAAAGTCACATGTAGGGGCGTAGCCAGAATTTCGACTAAGAGGTGTCAAAATATAAAGAAGTAAAATCGCGTAGAAGTCAAGGACTGTCAATATGTAATATATATATACATACAAATATTTTTACTCTAGCTACATAGTGTAACTTTCCGACAAAAGGATGTCAGTCGACACCCCTCAACTACATGTGGCTCTGCCACTGGTCACATGCTTAACGCATAAAAAATAATAATTAGATTGTCATGTAAGAAAACATGTTAAGAATAGTCATACGCTTCAACACATAGCTAGTTACTTTTTAAGTCAATCCAAACGGGATTTAACTTATAGAGATTGTTGTACTAACTTATGGTGATTAAACTTTATCTCTAACAAGAAGATATTAATGATATTAGTCTCTGAAGAAGCAAAAGTCATTGATCTATACTTTTAACGGTATTGATAATGATCATATTCTTTAAGCTTGAATTCTGAAAATAAAATCGATTCAGATAAGAACGTTATTTTATCCATAAGATGAAAATTTTTGTGTGGCTTAAATTAAATGAGTTGAACTTTAAAATGAATATCAAATAACGAGCAAAAAATTAAAGTCATTAATTCATTGGTGGATGTATTTTAACTACAGATATAGATAAAAAAAAAAAACAAATTTCCTACTAATTAGTCATAGTTGCTTACTTATGTTTAATAGAACTCGGTAAGTTTAATTCAAATTTTATATTTGTATTAAAAAATTATTTAGATACATATAAATATTGAAACTCTAAATCAATAAGCTGCATTTGTAAAATCAAAATCAATCTATAAAACTTAAAATTCTTTCTAACTCCGTCAATGCTACGAATAGAAGAATACATATAGGATATAGCATTGAATATAGTACAATAAAAAATTGAAAGATCTCAATATTAATTTTTTCAGTTGCAAGTAAATAATTTTCCTAACAACAATATACCTAATATAATCTTAACAGTACTAAAATATGAAAAGGGTATTTACTCCTATCTTAAAAAGATAAAAGTATTATTTCCGATTAATTAACAAAAATATAGTACATAATAATTTGTCGTGCCTGGAAGAGTGAAGGTTTTAACAACAAAAGTATATAGTATTATAATATAATATCACATCTGATGTCTAGAAGAAGACTCTTGCTAATTAAATAAAATAAAACAAGCCAAAGTCATTGGTGAGTAATTTATTTTAGTAGCGATAAATAAAAATTAGCGACAAATAAATTTAATAATTAAATTTCTATTTCCATGGAAAATCCAAAAGAAACAAAAACTCGAAGCTGATAGTATTTGTTCACCAAGTTAAAGGGGTTTATTTTTTAAATTGTTACTCAGTCAATAGTTATTATGTCAAAATATTATATTTTTTATCGGTTTTAATTTTCTTAAAAAAATAATAATTTATGAAATGATAAGTATTTAATTAAATGACTATTTGAAAAATCAAACTCTCATATTAAACAAAGAGACAAGTAAATGAGAGAGACTTTTAGGATATGTGTTCAATCATATCAAATAGAACATATAGACTAACATGGGTTGTGGTGCAGTGGTGAGACTGCTTCATCCTTAATTAGAGGTCTCGGGTTCGAGTTTTGAGTATGGAGAAAATCATGTTGGAAGCGCCACCTCTGAATGGGTCTTGCAGTGCGTGATCTAGATTTAATCAAAGCTCCAATATGAGCTCCGAACATCGAGTGGAAAACCAAAAATTACAGTAATCCATGTTAATCTTCTTAGTCAAATAGCTTAAATTTTTTAAGAAAGTTAATTAAAATAAGCTTTACTAGTAAATTGTTTACGCACAAAATAAATTTCGAAACGTATTTCACAACACTATTCACATGATTTTACCTTAATATTTAGGTGAATATATTTTTATATATATACACACTCAATATATGAACAATAACTTTAGAAAACATATATAAAATAATGAACTTATTAATTAGTTATTGTTTTATTAATATTGATTTTAGAAACAAATCCGTGTTTGGTAAGGCAATAGACATTTATTAATTTAATTCTAAAATTTGTACTTATCATAATTGTGTACTTATTCGAAATTGAGACAAATACATCATAATCATAATTTAATTCAATAATACACATTCTGTTTCAAATTCTTCTTTAGGAATGCTAAATTGAAGATTGATACGTCTAAATAAGGTTAATCTATATAGTTTTTGGTCCTTTCATTTTTTAGTTCATAAAATTTACTATCAATTATTAAATTTTGCCCCCATATATTCTTAATAATAAATTCATATATTCCACAAGTAGATAATCTTTATATTTCTATGATAGAATGTATAAAATTATAAATACTTATTTCCCGTCCAAACGATCTATTTTTTGAAGAGGGTTGATTTGCAAATGCATTCGATACACAAACTCTATTTGTTATATTTTGCTTGATATCTTGATCAATATAATCTTTCAGATTGTTTTTTTTATCACATATTTTAATGAAAACTCATATTAAAAATTGGTTGATTTTAAGCATTCAATCACTATGTATATAACGAATTGCCATTTAGAATTGATAAAAAAATTTGCAACATAGGACATAAATAAAGTGTTTTTAGGTGATATTCATGATAAATGGTTCATATAACATTTTCTCAACTCACATATATGAAAATTAAACTTCTTAATTGTCGAATCTTGATCTATGATTTAAATTTAAATTATTTAAGTTGCCCTAATTGAGTCATATTCATGCACAATCCAACGTTACAAAATGGTTATACTAACCTTTTATGCTATACAACAATTATGACGTTTCATATATTATTTCAATTGTTTTATTTAATTAATAAAGACATGTACAAAACAAAAATAATTGATAAAATATTTTATGACCTTAACGATAAATGATCAACGAAAAACCTGCCAATTGACACCTATTGCCTTGCGTTAGACAAACTTGTTTGATACTGGCTCTTGAGATTTTCAACCGTATATTATATGTATGTGTCTTTTTTGAAAAAAAAGACAAAGAAAAACTCACACCTATTTATAATTTTTACATCAACAAAGAAAACCAGCACATAAAAATTAATAATCAAGAAGCCTCATATGAAACAATACATATAATATAATTACGAATGATAGATAATTGTTAAAATATATTATAACCTTAACGATAAATGATCAACGAGAGACCTTTCAATTGGCACCTATTGTCTTATGGTTGAGAAACTTGATTGCTACTGGCTCTTGAGATTCATAACCATATATGTGTATATGCGTCTCTTTTTTAAAAAAATAAATAAAATCACATATTTTTATTATTTTTTACATCATCAACAAAATAAATCAATACATAAAAAATAATAATCAAGAGACCTCATATAAAACAATATGTATGATATAATTACAAATGTTAAATACAACCACTTTAAATTATATATTATCATTATCCTGAAATGTTCATAGAAGAAATTTATAAAACCACATAGGAAAAATAGAAAAGTCACACAAAAATTACATCGAATAAAAAGCACAAATATTATTTCCCCTCTAAATATCGAACTCATTACACAAAACTTATTTAATACATTTACCTTTTATGTATAATTTAAGAAAAAATATCTAAAATATATTCGAACTTTGACCGATATTACTGTAATAATCTCAAACTTTGGGCAGAACCCATTACTTCTCTACACTATTTAATGGTGCATTTTAAAGATATATAAGTGTCCATCTGGACAAGTTCCTTATTTATAATGTTCACGTGGACACCTGTATATCTTTAAAATATACTACTATTAAATAGTGTAGGGGTAATAGGCCCTGTCCAAAGTTTGAGTTTGTTACAACAATTTTGATCAAAGTTTGGATATATTTTGAACCTTTTTCCCTATAATTTACTAACTTATTTATTAAAATATTCATAATTTATCGTATATCCACTCAAAGTATAACAATCTCGATTTCTTTGTCATCAACAAAAAAAGATAAAGCCTAACATAATAAAAACAATACAGTATCTCACCTTATTGATAAAAATTCGATTCTTGACAATCATTCGATTGAATCTTAGTAAAATCTAAATTCCTCACAATGTCCAAACACTACCAAACCACAAAAAAATAAAAGCGTACGTGGTACACTTCTCACTGATGTAACGCTGACTTTTAATTCAATCTCGACCGTCCATTTTTAATCAGACGGCTCATACAAATCATTAGATCTACACCTGCATAACAGGACAACAATTCTCAGTTCATAAGACGCTTTGGTCCTTATTACAACTAAATTTGTTCAAAAAATTTGATGAAAAATTTCAACTTTCCCACTTCAGTTCAAAAATAATTTGCTTAATTACAGCAATTGTTTGCTAATTTTCACTATTTATGGTTTGGAGTTTGTGAAATTTTGGTTTGATTTGGTGTTGGATCTCAGTTTTGGGAGCTGTAACAACTTGCAATTTCGTTGTTTGTTGAGTTAAATTCTTGATTTATTTCAAGTAAGGGAGGAAAAAGAAGTGATTTTTAGTTGAAATTGGTGAATTTTGTTGGGAAAGTTGTGATTTTTTTTGTTCGAGCTAGTGATTTTGAGTTGTGGGTTTTTGAAGATTGAAGGTGATTGTTGTGTGTTTATTGAAGTATTGTTATGTTGTTGATATAGTAAAGATGGGGTTTTTGGTTTCTTTGGTTGTAGGTTGTTCAGGTCCTGATTGAAATTTGGGGGAAAAGTTAGGGTTTTGGATTTGGAGTTAGGGTTTTGTAATTGGGTATTTTGTGTTTGGGTAGAAGAAGAATTTGAAGTTCTACTTTGAAGAAGAGAAATGTTCTACTCACAGTTCATATTGGCCAAAAAGGGGCCTTTGGGAACTATATGGATTGCAGCACATCTGGAGAGGAAACTTCGGAAGAATCAAGTTGCTGATACTGATATTGGCGTCTCTGTAGGTTAGTTGTTCGTCGGTGCTTAGTCAGCTTTCTCTTTCGTTTCGTTTTCCTGTTCAATTGTTTACTGTTCAAGGTCACTAATGATTTTGCTGTATCTTAACATACTTGCTTTCTGGATGATTTTCATGGTTAGAATAAATATGTAAGTAGTAAAAGTAATTAGAAGATATGCAATTGGAGAGAAAGAAAAGATATGACTAATTTACACAGCTTCTGCCCATTGATGAATTACGCCAAGGAAGAGAAAGCATTGTCTGGTGTTCACATGAGGTTTTTCATATTTAGTTTCCGGATCTGTATTTAATTAAAGCTCATAGTAAGCAGGTAACAGTTTCTTTGTTAATGATCAACTATACCAGAATTGTTAGCTACATTTAACAAAATGAAACAAGGTTCGTTTGGCTCAAGGAAGAAAACGAAGGGGAAAGATGCTATCTAGTACATATTATCAGGGATTTGTTGGCTTAAAATAGTGAGGAGATAAGAATACCCGACATTTTGAAAACTAGAAATACCATAATTTGATATGGTGACCTTATCATTTGGCACATATATCCCAAAGTTTGTAATATTCATTCTTAATATGTGTATACTGATTTGATTGCCTTTGCTGAATTACCTATTTTTGGCTTCATTTGATTCCGCATTATTTCGTAGTATTCTCGTGCTTCATCTTAGAGAGATCTCTTGTCTCTTAATTGCTTACAATGATTTTGCTGTATTTTAGCATACTTGCTTTCTGGATGATTTTCATGGTTAGAATATATATGTAAGTAGTAATTAGAAAAAAGAAAAGATATGACTAATTTACACAGCTTCTGCCCATCTATGAATTACCCCAAGGAAGAGAAAGCATTGTCTGGTGTTCATATGATGTTTTTCATATTTAGTTTCCGGAACTGTATTTAGTTCTAGCTCATAGTAAGCAGGTAACAATTTCTTTGTTAGTGATCAACTATACCAGAATTGTGAGGTACATTTAACAAATTGAAACAAGGGTTGTTTGACTCAAGGAAGAAAACAAAGGGGAAAGATGCTATCTAGTACATATTATCAGGGATTTGTTGGCTTAAAATAACGAGGAGTAAGAATACCTGACATTTTGAAAACTAGAAATACCATAATTTGATATGGTGACCTTATCATTTGGCACATATATCCCAAAGTTTGTAATATTCATTCTTAATACGTGTATACTGATTTGATTGCCTTTGCTGAATTACCTATTTTTTTATTTTTTTTTTAAATTGGTAAATTGTATTCATTCAGCATTAAGGCTATGCTGGCCACCTCCAAAAAGTTTACAAAAAAGAAAAGAGAGATACTTACAAAGAGCCTATAAAATCCACTAGTTGGATTTCCTCTTCTATATTCTGTTCTTTACCCCAAAAACCTAGTGAAGTAATAACTTTCCACTTAATCTTCAAAATAGAGGATTCTTTTCCTTCAAAGATCCTCTGGTTCCTCTCCTTCCAAATGGTCCACCAGATGCAGGCTGGGACTATCCTCCACCATCTTTTTTGGCTTTTGCTTCCTCCTCATCTGATCCAACAGCTAGGCAAATCTGCAGTATGTTCAGGCATGATCCAGTTGATTCCAGCAATGGAAGTGAACATAGCCCAAACTTGTGTCGTTACTTTGCAATGCATGAAAAGGTATTTGTTGGTTTCTAGTGCCTCCTTGCAGAGGAGGCATCTAGATGCTATGATGGACCCCCTTTTTTGCAATGCCTCATGTGTCAAGCATGCTTTCCTAGCTACTAGCCAAGTGAAGCTTTTCACTTTATTAGGAGCCACACTCTTCCATATAGTATTCCAAGGTCCAGTTGACCTGCCTGCAGCAACACTCAGTCCCCTTTTGTATACCCTGTTAACAGTGAAAATTCCATCATTGTGGTGCCTCCAAATGAGTTTGTCTGAGTCTGTATTAGTGCCCGGGAAGTTTCCTATCAGTTTTAGATAATCTACCACCCATGGTATTTCCCAATCATTTAGCGGTCTTCTGAAAGTCAGGTTCCACCCTTGAGGGGACCACATTTCTTGTATACTGCATCCAGTATTCAAGCTTATTGAGAACAGTCCAGGAAAAAGGGAGTGAAGTGTGCCATGACCACTCCAGTCCTCTTCCCAAAAAAGTATCTTGTCTCCCCTACCAACTCTAACTTTAGTGTTTAGCTTGAGAGTCATCCATAGATTCCTGATAGATTTCCAAACCCCAACCCCATATGTATTAGTCACTTTATTAGTGCACCACTGCCCCTCCGGACCATACTTATGAAGGATAATCTCCCTCCACAAGGACTGATTTTCTTGAGTAAATCTCCATAGCCATTTGATAAGTAAACTCTTATTATGAAGCTTTAGGTTCCTCACTCCTAGACCTCCATAACTCTTGCTTTGCTGAACTGCGCTCCATTTTACCAGGTTGAAACTTTTCTCAACCTTGCTTCCTTGCCATAAGAAATCCCTTCTCAACTTGTCTAAGATTTCCACCACCTCACCGGGGATGGGAAATAAAGACATTACATATGTTGGCAGAGAATCTAGGACTGCATTGATCAAAACAACTCTACCTCCCAGGGAAAGGTATTGTGATTTCCAAAGAGCTAGTCTTTTTTCTGTTTTCTCTATTATTCCATCCCATATATTCACAGCTTTGTGATTAGCACCCAATGGCATTCCCAAATAAATTGTGGGCAACTCTTCTATCCTGCACCTCAAAATATCTGCCAGAGACTGAATTTGTTGCACCTCTTTCACTGGAAAAATATTGCTTTTCCTCCAGTTAATCTTCAACCCAGACTTCATTTGATTCTGCATTATTTCGTAGTATTCTCGTGCTTCATCTAAGAGAGATCTCTTGTCTCTTGATAAGCTTTGATAAGCTTCCACTCTAGGTGCTCACAGACTAGACTTATGAGTTTAATCTCTTGTCCCACTTTATCCTTTTGGTATTTGTCTATGTTTTTCTAGTTCCCAGGTATTTTTCCTAGTCTATTGATTTTACCAAATAATAAGTCCAATCCACTTTCATGCTGATAAAATAATGCTGAATTGACCAATGATGTAGCTTTTATATTCAAAATTTTCCCAACTAGGTGATGTGTCTGTCTAACTCCCCATACTTGCCTTCATACCAGAAGATGAAGCTTTAGTGGAGAAAAAAGTAATATATTGAGGGTTTGGTTGTGCTTGCTAGTTGAGCATTCAAGTAGGGGTGAGCATAAAACCGTACCGAACTGAGTTAATTCTTAAAAGCTGAACCGAATTACCATATAAACCACCCCTTGGATGGGTTAAATTTGAGACTAGGTCATAGTTTGCATATACTTGTTGGATTATAGTTATCTACAGAAGAATTGGCACTAAGAGGTGGCTAAAACTTTTGTAAGTTGACAAGCTGTAGCGCTTGGGGGGGGGGGGAGTAGGATAGCTGAAAAGGTAATGATACCTTTCTCAAAAAAGAAAAAAAATGTAGATGACTAGGTATCCTATGTACTGGTCAGGGAACCTTCTCAGCACTACCATGATGGTTCTTCTATTACTGTCTATTTAGGGTTCTAGATTGCTGCATTATATTGCTGCCTAGATTTTTTAATTTCAGCAGAGTGCCAAAGGAAGACAAATATAGCTTGATTGGTTTTTTTTTATGACATTACTTGTTTTTTTCTTGGTAAAGGTTAAGGGTTTTATAAACAGAGCACAAAGATTGGCCGAAAATTACACTCAAACTCAATTCCTATACATTACTGTAGTTTTATGTTAATGTCATAGTTGGTGGATTTGTGTAGTTTTATGATAATGTCATACAGGAGCCACATTGCTCCTGTATCTCTACTTTATGTACTTTGATGATAATGTCATAGCGGTGGCTCTTTTGGTTTAGATTATGAACCAAGTATGCTGTCTTTTAATCAAAATTCTATTGTTGTCTGGTTGTGCATTGAATACTTCTGGCTCTTCCTGGGTATTTTCGCATATCATCTTATGTGTCTGCCTTATTCGTTTATATACAATTTTTTCTTTTTGTTGGTCAATCAAAAAGCCATGTATTCTTCTTTTTGTCTTTTGTTAACTTGCCTTGTTCTTTGTCAACAGACTCCATCCTTTTTCCTGATGTACCAATTGCATTGCGGTTATCTAGCCATCTTCTGCTTGGAGTTGTGAGGATATATTCTCGAAAGGTGGGTTACCTATTTGATGATTGCAGCGAGGCTTTGCTAAAAGTCAAGCAAGCTTTTCGCTCCACTGCTGTGGATTTACCACCTGAAGAATCTAAGGCTCCATATCACTCAATCACCTTGCCAGAGACTTTTGAACTTGACGATTTTGAATTGCCAGACAATGACATTTTTCAGGGGTCGGTTCCAATCTATCTTTTTTTCTCTTTACTATAATGTTAGCTTTCTGCATATCATTGATTTTACGGGAATACAACATGATATGGTTGTTGGCTGAGGGAGTTGCTCAAATCCCTGCTAAATGAGATATAGCGGTGGAATAATTCCTTGTGGAGTAAATATCAGGGATACCTGAAGTACTCCTTCTGATACAATTTGTTTGGCTTGACTCGGAGTACAAGGGTCAAACTTACTAATATTCGGTGTGAATTCAGACAGAGAATCTTCAACTTCTTTTTTGTAATAAATTTACATATTTAGATACTACATAAAAAATACTCTTTAAGTCACATAGTCAACTATTCAAAATATAATATCACCAGTTTAAAAGAAAAACAATTCAAAATATCTAGAAAGTATTTGAAAAAACTATGGTCAAAGAAAATGTCCATTTAGTAACTAGAACAGCATTCCTAGTCATTTCACAAGTGGGGTATGGGGAGGGTGGTGTGTACGCAACCTTACCCCTTTAAGGTAAAGAGACTGTTTCCGATATACCCTCGGCTCAAATAAAACATCTCAAAATCCAGTAAGAAGCAGAGGAGTACTTATCTTCTCGCCCTGTAATATCGATTATTTTCTGGTGAAAAGTTGTTGCTATAGTCCACTTAGGGCTCACTATTCCTCTAATGTTCCTACTAAAGTCAATGTCAATTCTGCAGTAACTATGTGGACCATCATATTAGTTCAAGGGAGCAGATCACACTACAAGATAACATGGAGGGTGTGATTTACTCAACTTCGAAGTTTGGATTGGATGGTAATTATTACTTTGGATATCTAATTGCTAGATTTGTTATGACACTGCTACTCATATGTTTGCATGGTGATTTTTGCTCAGAGAGATTTGGGGATGGTGACACTTCTGGTTTAGACCTTGATGAGGTAAGATCATATTATTACTTCACCCCTTAGCTTCGTGTTTGTTTCATTTACCCTTAAACGGAGTTATTTCTTTATGAGAAATATACAGAATTCTTTTTAGGATCATGTTCATGCTTCATGGTTTCTAATGGCATGTTTCTACATGAATTATGCTCGGAAGTTGTTAATCTATAGTCCCTTATTGATGCAGATAACCTATTTCATATGGCTAGATATTGTTGGTTATATAGGTGTCTGCATGGATGTGTATTATAGTGTCCTTTGATAAAGAAATGTGTATTATAGTGTTATGTCGTTTTTCTATTTTCTTTCTGATTTTTGGACTTCTAATTGCATACAGGAATTATTTTTGGACAAGATTGCTGCTGTTGGAGATGCTAGTGGGAGGTTGACCTCATATTACTCACTGCCTCTTACAATATTCCCTTATTCCCATGCAGAATGTTACCAGTCATAAGTTCTTATGAGATTCATCTTATTTAAAATGTTGTTGTGGTCTACTTCTTTTCCTGTTTTGTGGTTAAAGCTTTTTATTTTTGGTTGGTTGGTTGGGGGCTTTTAAATGCAAGAAGCTATATGGATCTAGCTATACAAAACTAAAACTTATATATATACATATACATAAATATTTAAGTGATGGTTCTTTTTTAATTTCTGACTTTTCCGTTAATGTTATGCTTATGCTTTGTATGGGTGGGTTATTGAGTTATGTTGGAGATCTAATGCTAAATAGGCTAGTGAATGCCAGGACTAATAAGTCAGGTTGGATTCATGGTGTGAAATGAGTCAAACAATTGCACCTTGATATTTGTTTTCTTTGAGTCTCTTGATCTTGGGATTGTGTTGGGGCAGGTCAAATATCTATAATAGGTGTTTGATTGTCAATCCATTAGACTGCAATTCTATACTATTGCACAGTTTAATGATATGAATATCTGACACAACTTTGCTGATTCTAGTGCTGATCCTCAAGCATCTGTTGAACCAATGACACCAATCAAACAAGAAGAACACCATGAAGAGATGGCTGCAAATTCCGAGAGCATGGTAACTAGCCTATCTGTCCTTTATTCCCTACAAAATAGCTGGTTATTGACTATTTATTGTTGGTTGTGCCAGACAACTCGTTTTATATACCTTAAACTTATGCTGGAATGATTCAAGGTCTTTTCTTTCATGCAGTTTGATGGAGTTGATGGAGATGCTGATTTCATGGATCATGCTCCATGTACTCCTGGGTTGGCGGAAGAACCAAATTTGTCTAACGTTCAGGAAATATCAGCATGTGAAGACCATCTAGGGCTGGAAGATCGTCATGTGACTGAATATGCTGTAAAAGCAAATTCAGTGAATCTCTCTTGTGAAAATAACGTGAATAACAGAAGTGAGCTCTTTGAAAATCAGGCATTAACTGCTGGCTCGAATGGTGAACAGCCTGTAAAAGGATATTCAGAGAATCTCTCTTGTGAAAATAACGCAAATAATGGGAGTGGACTTCTAAAAAATCAGGCATTAACTGATGTCTCGAATGCTGATACTGTTCACTCTGGGGCTGCTGAGGAGAATGGTTACCATTTAGGTAACATGTGTGACAAACAACTGGTGCCAGATGGTCAGCTGCCTCCAAGTGGAGTTGCAGTGGATCTTGTGTCATCAAGTGATCCCACTGTAGCATCTGGACCATCCTCTGCTGCTGTTCATCTGGTTAATGCAAAATCATCTGTCCTAGAATGTGCGGATGCGATTGTTGCTGCATCTGATGGTCAAACAAATGAGAGGAGCTTGCAGTGTATGCATTCTGACATGGACAAGGTTGATGTATCTACCCCTGGGGGCTTCCCCGACGAACCTTCACTTCCAAATGGAATTAGTTCCACAAAAGTTAACTATGATGTTTCTGCTTTAAGTAGCATCTGCCAGCCAGTTCCTGAAGATATTTCACCGAGTAATCAGAGATCACCTAAGGCAGTCTCAAATTACATTGCAATTCCAGGAAACTTGGATGCTGGTGAATCTCAAGATATAACTTGCTTTGAAACACCGAAGACTGCTGATTGTCTGGAACAAAGTATTTTTGATGAAGACACTGGTGCCCAGGTTCATGTTCTGAGTCGATGTAATGCTTCTGCTCAGCTTGATGCATCGAAGTCTAGTTGTGAGCATGCTGTTAATAACGAGCCACCATCTAATTTTTCTGGTTTCCACCTGCCAGAAACTTCTAAGGAGGGCGAATTACATGCTTCAGGTATTTGTGCTAGAGTTTTAGGTTTGTTGGGGATAAATCTGTGTGCTATATTGGAATATTGTTTGTGAATGTACTCTTAACACTTCCAGTTGAAACATGCCATGCAGCAGGTTATTCAGAACAAATCTCAAAAGAAAGTCTCGTCAAAGAACCTGTTCCACGTGAAGACATTCAGAAAGATACTGACAAATCAACTGATCGAGCAGATAATGTAGTTCCAGAAGATCGCCACATGGAGTTTATGAGCAGTTCAGCTGCCTCTGCCTTGCCAGCTCCTGAAAAGATTCTATCAATGTCAGGAGGGCTTGTTGATTTACCTCGGAGTATTTTCCCAGAGGCTACACCGGATTACTTGGCGGGGTTCAATGAGGCTGATGCTGGTGACAAATTCATTTCAGGAAAGAAGCGCAGTTACACTGAGAGCACACTAACAGAGCAGAGTTTCAACTCAGCTGAATCTTCAAGGATGGTCCGTTCCAAAAAGTCTGGAGGATTTATTCCCGATGATGATGATTTGCTTTCTTCTATACTAGGTACATTGGAGTTACTTCATAGAAGGGAAGGGTGACCCTTTTTATCTTAATGAAAAATTCTTTCTTCTTTAGAATATGACATATATCCTCTTTTCTGACTTATGTGAAACATTTCCACTTTCCTAATTATTCGCCACAATTCTGCTTAGTATAATGTTATAATGTGTCTGTCAAAGTAACCTTGTAAATCTTTGAACTCAGTTAATTATTACATAACAGGGGTGAGGGGAAATTAACATTTTTCTTGAGTTTAGACCTTATTTGTTGTAACAATCGTCATTCTTATTTCAGTTGGAAGAAGATCTTCAGCGCTGAAGCTAAAGGCTACTCCTCGACCTTCTGAGATTACATCAAGCAAGCGTGCTCGATCTGCTGCTCGGATGACTGCCAGTAAAAGGAAGGTTCTTATGGATGATATCATGGTCTTGCACGGAGAGTATGTTTCTGTCGTATATTTTTGTTTCTGTTCATGCAAATGCGCCTTGTGCTTTTACTAGTTTAGATCACTAAGCCGGATGATTTATATTTCATTTCTTGTTGTCAAAATATAGCAGATTAAACCACATGAAAGGCATAAAAAATGTATCTTGGGCTTTTAACAATCTATTGCAGAGTATAGAATTATAAATGTATCCATATCAGCAATCAGACTGAGAATCGAAACTAGTATTTTCTTGGCACTGCGTCTTTTGTCTATTTTAAATACGATTTGCACTATAGTCTTGAATTAGCTGCTTTTGCTCTACTGAATTACTTATTGTGTGCCAGAGTTTAGGTGCTGGTTTTACTCTGATCCAATGGTCAAAGGCCTGTCTCTTTATAGGCTTTGTTTTGATGTTGCAAATTTGTGTTGGTTTCCTCGTCTTGTTGCTTTATGTTTTTCCCAGTCTAATTCGAACACAACCCTTGTTATTTTGGATACTTCATTCCTTAATGCTTCAGCATTCTGACTACTGTTATCATGATTTCTAGTCCAGCCACTCTGGTTCTCATGTTATACTTGATCAAAGGTGTTGGAAAATATGATATTGTTGACAGATAAAACAACCTTAGACTACGTAATGACTGTGAACAGATCCTCTAAAAAATAAGTTGGTTCTTGGTTGGATCACAGATACCTCTCAACTCATTTTTCTATCATTTCCGGTTGTGCAACCAAGGTAGTGGTTTAGCGGTCGATGAAATGGAAAAAAGACCATGGGATTACCAGAGTTCAAATCCCAGCAGAGGCCAAAAGCTAAGTGATCTCTTCCCATCTATGCCTACGTATTGGTGGCAGAGTTATCTGGTGCCTGTAATAGTGGGGGATGTAGGTGCACTGAGGAATAGTCGGAAGTAAAAGAGAGAGAGAGAGAGAGAGAGAGAACTGACTGTATTTTGTTTGTTTCCGCTTCTTGTTGACATGCAATAGCTGACCTTTCTAGTGGGCTATTCTAATATGTGCTGTCTAGTAGTGAATTGATGTGGGTCTGAATTATTGCCAATTCAGTTAGGTTCCCTTTCCCAAATAGTTAGCTTTTGTCTCGTCATTTCTGCCCTATTTCCCAGTGAAATGCTTTTTCCTGTCTGAAAAATCTTTTTATGTGTTTAAATAGCTTCTCTCACCTCATTCTTTAAATATCTGATAAAACATATTTGCATTTGTGATAGTATGATAAGACAACAGTTGATACATGCTGAGGACATACGTCGCGTAAGGAAGAAAGCTCCTTGCACACATGCTGAAATCTCAGCGATCCAGAAACAGTTGTTGGAAGATGAAATTTTCAGAGCAGCAGTATTAACTGGTGGGTTCAGGATGCAAGTCTACATTTTTTCTATTTGATTGTCTTCTTCTTGTTGAATCATGCAATTGTTTTTGTTGTGGATATTATAAAAGGTGATCACATTTTGTCTATGTTTAATCCATAATAAGTGCTTATATGAGTGCTTGTATGAGCTAGCTACACTTCAAGTGTCTTGGGTATTTGTTTTATTGATTAGTTTAACATCTCTCTACTTGGATGTATGCCTTGGAACTATTAAGCTGATGTGTTTGGGAAATATGTTTACTTAGACTCTATGCCAAGTACTGCCATATAGTTTGTTCTAATGTCACCCTAAGAATACAAGCACATGCTTTTAAGTTTTTAAGTTCTTTTGCTAATTGTTTCATGTTAGGAGAAGGCACATTTATTGTCTGCCTCTTAACTTTGTTCTTGGTGCTGCATAACACCAATGGCCTTTGCTAGCTCTTCATATTGACTGAATTTGATACTGATTCAGGTTTGTCGGTGGAATTGTCTTCTTTACATAAGCAAACATTTGACTTGAGTACAGTCAAGGTCTCTTCTTCTAGTGATGTTAGCTGTTCTCATGCTGAGATGGCGGTCAAACCCCAGATAACTGCTGAGTATGCTGAAAATTCCATCTCAAATTTGGAGGAACAACGTCAACAGCCAAGTGTTGAGTGTGCTGAAAAACCCATCTCAAATTTTGAGGAACAACGTCAACAGCTAACTGCTGAGTATGCTGAAAACCCCATCACAAATTTGGAGGAACAACAAGCGACGGTGTTCAATGAATCACATGTTGAAAGAGAAAGTGGAAAGGAAGGAAGCGATGAACGGTTTGTAGCTAGAGATGATAGCATATTAGGAGATGTTGAGGCTACTATTCCAACTGAGAACAAGGAAGTTGATGAGCATGACCAATGTTTAAATAGTGACGCCTCTCAATTGCGGCCAGATACTGTCACTGATGTAGCAGCGGCCAATGGCTTTCATCTTGAACCTTCAGATAATACAGCAGAAATAGGACCTCAGGTAACTTGCCTTTCTGGTGCTGATGCAGCAGATACTGCCTCTGCCGCCAAAGAATTATTGGCATGTCCTAAAAGTGGTGGATTAGGTGGCGAAGGTGATATCATAGAAGGTCTACCTCTGACAGATCTATTTAATGAGTCTGGAAGGGAAGCTGCTTTTATTTTACCCGAAGTATCATATGGATCTCCCAATCGTGCACCGACTGCTCAAGCTGATAAGTCTCTGGAAAATTTGAACGATGAAAACCTTGTAGTTAGTAGTGACTGGCCAGAAAGCAACTACTTTATTTCTGAAGCTGAAACTGGAATTGAAAATATGGTAGAAGATGCAGATCTATTGGAGGCTGCCCAAGACAGTGCTACAGTTGAAATTGCAACTAATGTAGAAGATATAGTAGCAGATGATTTCAACCAGAGCTTTGCTGATAACGTTATAGGCACTGAACAACCTACCACAGATGCTTCATATGATGAAACAAATATGCATTTGCTGGATGATCCCATAGGAGCCGGAGACTATCCATGTAAACAAGAAGATTTCTCTTACAATATGATGGGCGCAGATCTCACGGATGGCAATCTGGGGGACCTAAATGTAAGTGTGCTAGCTTAGTTTCGAGTGCTGGTCTTCTGGAGTTTCAGTACTCTCTCTCTCTCTCTTTAATGTATTATACATGACAATCTTATTTTTCTTTTTATGATGTGTTGGATAGAAATTGCAGACAATTGCTTTGTCAATAATTAAGTACCTCTCTTTTATCAAAGTTAAAGTACATATCCTGGTCTTGACAAGGTTGCTTCCTTGTTGCTTCTTGACCTCTATGTTGCTCTTTGTTCAGTATGGGTGGTTCTTTGGAACTCAGAGAAAGGGGAAGAAAGAAAAGAAAAAAAATTACCTCTAGATTGTTACCAATAGTGTCAGGTCTCAATGTAGTAAGACCTGATTGGATAATCTTTATCTAAAAAATTCTAGCAAGTAGCAATATGTACGAGCACAAATCTTGATTTCATGTAGATGAACATGTACACTGGAGGTTACCTTCTGTCTTGCACTGTTCTGTTTCCCCAAACTACTAGATTCTTTATCAGCTGATTGCTTTTGTTAAAATGGGCATGAAATGTCGGTCCTTTTCTTTGCCTTAATGAGAGATTTACTTTGATATGTGCTCAGCTGATTTGTGCTTTCCTCATTTGTTTTTTTTTGGCAGGATCTAGATTATTCAGCCGCTGGAAATGATACAGGTTTGTTTTCCTTCATCTGCAACCAAAACTTGAAAACTTCCAATTGCCTCAAAAGAAAGAAAAAACAAATAATTTCAAAGTCGAATGGGATGAGAATATTTTCAAATTTGCAGTAACATTAGGCATGTTTGATTAAGATGGATTATCTGTCCTTGCTTGTTTCAGAACCTTGCATCTGAATTTTCCGACGTTGATTAAATTTGATAATGGCTTGCAAAATTTGCATTCAATTTGATGTTATATGTTGTAAAATGGTTTCGCAAGGTCTCTCCTCAAAATAATCATGGACAAATGTTGTGAATTGTGACCTTTCTCTTTGTACCTGTCTGATTTGATGTGTGAAGAAATCAGACACACAAGTTGAAGAGTTTGAGAAAATGTGTGAAGACTAGTGTCTTGGTCCGGAAAACTTTTATAAGAGCAATATACAGTGTATTGTATTTGTGGGATATGAGAGATTTAACTCCATATTTCATCTAAAATTACTATTACCTCTATTACAAAATGGTCAAACCATTTCAGCAATGTGGCAACGTTGGTAATGTAGTTTCTTTGGAAGTTTTTGTAAGTTTTCTAAGGTCTTGTAGCTTTGGTGTAACATTATTTTTGGTATCTAGGGTTTCTGAACTTCGATGACGATGATGATGAAGAAGCTGAAGCAGCTGATGATTATGTACCTGCTGCTGATGTCACCCGTATCACTGAGAACATTGGATGGTCCTCTCGTACTAGGTGTGCAACTTGTTCTTCATTTCCTATTATTCTGCTATTATAAGTCTAGGGCTGCGCAAGCTGAGTGTCATTTTTAGACAAGTTTGCCCTCGCCTGTCTGCTTTTTTCCTGTGGTTCAGTGTTTTTACGGGTGGTTCATACATTGGTTTCTGTCATTTAATCTAATGGGGGTAGAAGTACAAAATTATCAGAGTAACAGACTAGGCTCAAATTTCACAATAGAAATATGTTTCGGGAAGGACCTCTTTAGATTCCTGCTTCTCGCTATATACTTTGACCAAATTCTGTGATTGTTCTTTTATGTTTAAATGGTGCATCTCGTCTTTTCTTTTTCCTGACAACTATAGACATTTACTTGCCTTCCTTCTCTGATTCAGCTACCCCTCTTCTTTTAGTGCCTACAGAGAGGTTCAGATAATCTTTTCTGCTGACCAACAGCTTTTGCATATTAAGATAGTCCATTGTTAAAGTGTGGTCTCATGAACAGTGGTTGAAATCGAACCAGCATAATGAAAAAGATAGCAAAAGGGCAGGCCCAGAGTCGGATTCAGCCAACTAAACAGAATGGCAAGCTTCATTACCATTTGGGAAATCCCATCAGTTGAAAAACCAAGTCCTAATCTTTGGATTGACAAGTAGCAGAAGGAAAAGGTCCGACTTAGGCTGAATATAGGAACTGAAGCAGTAGTTTTCCATCTGGTTAACCATATGTTCTTTAACCTGTGGAAATGGTGCCTAAAAAACAAATTAAGAGCTAGGAGGGGTCTCCTCTAGTCGAGCTAATTTTCTGTTCTTCCTCCCCTGGAGCTACCACCGCTCCTTTGGTGACTCGAACCCACAACCTCAAGGTTGGAGGTGGAGGGTGCTTACCACTTGAGCAACCATCTCGTCTAGTCGAGCTAATTCATTTCTCAATTCTTACTTTCGAGGTATAATGTCCTTCAGATAGTCCAAAATGGCCTATCATTCTTTTTAGTTGCACCCACCCTTTGTCTACAACAAACAACGCTGTCATGTTGAAAAGGGATTTCTACAGTCAATTTTTATCGTAGAGGCCGAGGCATTGCTAGAACTCATAGAGGCTCTCTAGGATTAGAAGAGGGCCATACTTTGGCTATGTTGCTCAGACTCTTCAAAAATATCAGCGGGTGCATGTCGGATTCTCCAAAATTAGTGTACTTTTGGAGAATCCGACACGGGTGCGGCATCAAAAGTGAAGAGTCCGTGCAACTTAGCTTTTTGGTGTTTTGCTCACTATACTGTAATTCCATCGCAAACTTTGTGCTGTTTATAAATACAATTATTACATTTTAAAAAGTATATTTTTTAAAAAATCATATTTGAACTGCTGGAGTTTATTTTTATTATAATACATAAGTTGAAGAAGATGAAGACGTGAATACAGCAATAAAAGAAACTTCGTTGGTGTAAAATGCATCCTTGATGCTTTAGACTGGAAAGAGTGGTTAACTGCAGGATAGATAAGCGAAGAAAAATAGAAAATCGTTCCATTTGAAAATTGAAAGGATCATACCTACTGAATACAGCAACTTACTGCTGCACTTTAACATAAATCGAAGAATCTTCTCCAAGAAAGTAGTTTGTGGTTGGAGTAAGGTACGGCTGTCTAAAGAAACTTATTTCCCTCCTACCTTGAGAATGGATGGTATAAGAGGGTTGGTAGATGAGTTCCATAGTGTAAGCCCAGAATTTATTAAGAAAGCTTGGTTAAATTTTTTTTAAACTTCAAATGATAAAATCGGATACATACTTTGCTCGAAATTTACAACAGGGATATTAGTCCGAAGGCTTTAATCTCCTTTCATTTTACCTATAGACAGGCTCTGCTATTTATTCTACTGTTGTCTGATCTTTATGATGTTATTGTTTATGAACGAAAAGTTCAGCCAGAGTTCCACATTGATGTTTGTATACACAGGGCTGTTTCCAAGTACCTCCAAACCTTGTTTATTAAAGAATCTGAGCGTGGGAGAACGTCTCTCTCCATGGACAGTTTATTAGTTGGTAAAACACGAAAGGAGGCATCAAGGATGTTTTTTGAAACTTTGGTATGTGTAATGCCTGCTATCATTTTTTTTGACATTCTCGTTGCTACCTTTTCCCCTTGTTTAGTGCAAATGGAATCTTAATCAGGTGCTGTGTCTGTCTGTATGTTTATCACAGGTTCTTAAAACCAGAGATTACCTTCATGTAGAGCAAGTGATACCCTTTGACGATGTCACAATAAGTCCTGGAATGAAGCTTATGAAATCGGACTTTTGAATCTGATATGTTTGGTAGGGAAGGATATAACATGAAAAAGTTGGTAAACAGAAATATGTATTTCTAGTAGTTAGTCAATTGGGTCAGTTTGTGGTCTACTCTTGCTATAGTTCATTCTTTACAGTCACGTTTTGATGGTCATGTAGTTAGGTTTTTACTTGGCTGGCAGAGTAGATCATTTGACACAGGTGTGTGTTGCACTCTGTTGTACAATGTAGATCTTATTTATATGTAAATATCCTGTATAATATGTGGCCATGCTTCTGTTCTAATTTTCACTTCTTTATTTTCGTAATAAAGAAAATTATATGCTTTTAATATTTATTTAGGTTTCCGATACCATAGAGAGTTCGATTATTCTACAAGTTGTCATCATAACTTGTGCCCTGAAACTCGATGAACTGACCTGGAGAGAAGAGATCCAGAATTGTCCCATTAAGAACATCATTCTTACGGCAAACATGCAACTAGCCCTTTTTAACTGAATAATCGAAGTTCAGAGTTTTTAAAGTTGTGTCGTTTTAATATCAAATTTCAAACATCTGGGTCTCAAGTTTTAGGAGGTTTTGAACTATAAGAGAACAGCATATCAGTGTAATTCTACGAGTGAGGTGTAGGGAGGGTAGTGTAATTCTGTGAGTGGGGGTGTAGGGAGGGTGATGTGTACAAAGTTTTATCCCTTCTAGTACTAAGTTGATGATCAAATAGACACTGATTATACATTTATTTAGATCTAATGATTTGTTCATATAGATGTTTACAATAGTTAAGGCCAAGTTTGGAAAAAAGTAACTTTCTGTTAAAGTGTTACATCAACTCCCAAACCCTTTCTTGGGTAGTTCTCCTAGCTATAAGTAAAAAACTAGACAGTTGAACAATGGCAACAAATACACCTCAACACCAACGAGTAGAGATTGGCTATATGAATGTATGTTAGCCATTTCACTACATTAAGCTCAACTCGAAGCTAGGTAGTTGAGTATTTAACATAATGTGAGAGAACAAAAGGCGCCTAGGCTTGATTTTCTCCTCAACTTTGCAACACATTTGCTATTACAACCATGGTTCTGTAGTTTCTGTATGCAGCAATATAATCCCTGATTCAGTCTGTTGTACGACCCTTTTTGCTTAGTCCATGAAAGAATCTATGTTTTCTCCTCTTTGAATGCCTCTTAAAGGCCCTCGAGATGACATAGGGAATGAATTGCACCTGCCAAACTTCTTGAGTTAGACGAGAAAAAGTCAAGAATCATATGAGACCTTACAGTTGCCCAACATAAAACGGAGTTCCAACTTTCAACTACTTAAGAAAGCCTATATTCAAAAAGTTAAACATAATGCTCTTTTGGAGGAAGAGCCACATCTCCAGTCTAACCATTTGATATGATCGTGTACTACTTTTGAAGACAGAAAAGGAAGACCCTTAAACATAGAATATATCAGGAATTACGAAACTCAAATATAAAGTCAGTACAATATATAGAACAAAAGGCCAACTGCTACAATCAATCTACAGCACAAGAAATCACAATGATCTGCAGGACAAGTAATAAAACCCTCAAAATTCAACATCTCTTTAAGAAAATGAGTAATCTAGTTCCTCTTTTAGGTTTTATACTAAACTGTAGTTTTCAATAAAGAGTTCTTTCTTCAACTTGATCATTTAAGAATATTAAGCTGGATGTTATGATCAGACTACTAAAATATGTATTCCCTTTGATCACGAAGAAATCCCGGAGGGTCAGTGGCATATCATACAAAACCAGTAGATAATGGACATGTCCCTCTATCTTTCTCCACTCAAATACAAGGCATTGATTCAAGCCTGTAATATGTGCCTACCCCATACATCGCACGACGTTCTCTTACTACTAGACCAAATCCCTGGCGGCAACAGACTACTTTGGTAATGCAATAGCGATATGAATGTGAGCATCAAAGTAAAGTACCTGAGCATTGTTCCTAATGCCGTAGTCCTGAAGTTTAGCAGTATCATCTAGTAACTTCTCATTGTGGAATAAAAGGCAAAAATTTGACCAGACATGCCTCCTGCATATCAACAGAAATACACATTCAAGCTAACAAAAGCGGGAAGAGAATAAATGATAGCAGTTTACAAGCTCAATATGAGTATCATCAAGCTATAGTTCAAGTGACCACCTTGTACAAGATCTAGTGGTGCTACCCGAAGACTCCATGCCAACCATTAGACTCAAGGTAATTATTGTTAAAACTATAGTTTAACTTATACAGACTAAAAGTTCAATCAAAGTTTTGGCTAGCATACACTTGAATGTCAAGTGAGCTAAAGAGATGCAATGACATTTTTCGTGTGCCAACAAATTCAATTTTTGAGCAGCACCATATCATCATTCTGATTTCTGAGGCTACCTTCAATCTAATCTTCCTGACAAATTGCTGATTTAGCAAATTTCGACCTCTCCCTTAATCTATTGCTGTTTCAACTTTTACACTCTTCTTTTTGCTTCTGACAACTGAACATATTTACCCTCTTACAGTAAGTCCCAACAATTATATTTTGGCTTTCGAGTTGCAACATTTCACTTTTCGGTTACGAAGAGTTAAAATTCTCACGTATCCAAAAGAAGGCAATGATGAAAGGAAAACATGAGCCAACTCTAAGAGCACAAAGTCACAATAGTCCTGTAGCATTTCAAGCAACATACCAAGAGATGTGCCGATGACCCATCTTAGATTGCTCGGTGTCATCAATCCTTTTCCGAACAGCTTGTTTCAAGTCTTTAACTGTTGCGGAATTCATCACTGTCACATCTTCATTGAAAGGAAGAAAATTAATGGATGTAATTGTTTATTCTTGTTCATTAAAACCAGGAACAAAGTTTGCAACTAAGAACACTGAGACGTAAGTACCAAAGGAGCTGCCATCCAATTTGAGGACAGAGATACGCATGGCACTCCCAAGTTCCAAGCTGATAAGGGTGTCCACATCCGTCAGAGTTGGGTTTTTTGGTATATCAGCAAGCACAGGATCGTTGAGGAGAGCAACCAGTGTTGAATGGAGTCTTGCCTTCTTCATGTCACTACTATATTCCAGTGAAATGTTGGTTTCCTCCTTTCTTCCCTCTGCTGGTAAAGATATGTTTGGATCAGCCAGTATCTTATAAGAATCAATAGGCATACACCAGCATGGACAAAAACTTCTATAAGTTACTATGGGAGCTAAGAGAGAGCAGAAAAAGTCCATACACCTCTACTCTACCTAGTACTCCCTCTGTACTTCACCCTCGTAATTCTCACCTAATATCTTCCAAGCATCAAACAGAATATAACCCAGGTAGCTTTATCATATGGCTTGTATTATGCCCATCACAAGTACAGAGAAACCATTTGGTTCTGTGCACGCACACATATGTTTGTGTGGGAGAGAGGGGAGTTAATATATATATATATATATATATATATATATATATATATATATATTGAACAGAGAAAAAGAGATTTCTCATGCGAATTCATTTCACGATGGACTAGGGAAGTGTACTAATCCATCTCGGAAACCTCATGAAACAAAAAAAAATAGAAAGAAATATTGACATTAGTTCAAGCTTCGGTTAAGAAACTATTGGGTGTCGAATAGGTATGTGCAGCCAAACATAGACCGCTCACTAGAACTGGCCTCCTATAAACATCTTTTCTTCATCAAAATTGATCTCCTTTCTTATAGTTGAAACTTGTTAAGAACATAAAAGAAAGTAAAATATGATGATCTAAAAGAAGTGATGGGCAAAGCCACAACGAAAGACCGTAGTCTCATGATATCTTAGCAAAACATCTCTGATCGTTAGAACAAACATGAACCTATGGGGCAATATCCCAAAAAAAAAAAAAAAAAAATCAAAATGGATCTACCTGGTCTTATGGACAGTATTTGAGAATTAAGCATTTCAGAAATTTTCTAAAGAAATGAATAGTAATTTCTAATTCTCTGTCAGTGAAAGGTTCTTGGACTTTGCATGATTTTGCAACTCAGTTTCCTCTTCCTAGCCCTCCCAAAAGAAACAAATAAATAAATATATATATATATATATATATATATAGATAGATATGTGTGTCTGTGTGCATAAGTATATAAAATGTGTATATAGACGCCACTTTTTTTATTTAAGAAAGAGAACTGTACAAGAATAGAAGACCCTGAGGAAAGTGAAGATTTCTTTGGGATATGAAGCTAAAAGGAAATGCAGTTACTACCTGTGAGTTGTTTAGATTCTGTAGTAAGATCTCCGGACATCTCTAACAATGCCATTTGCTGCATAACAGTGATTTAAGCAACTTAGTATATGAAGTTTAGGGACAATATAGGAGCATATAATCCACCTCGCAGAAAGCTTAATTTAAAAATCTAAACAGCTGAAATGGCAAAAAGAAATCAAACTGTGCTGCAACTTTCTAGACCTAACAGAAGGATAAGACTTTATTGAAAATAGCATCATAACAATGGCAAAATCATTATACCTCCTCTTTAGCTTCCAGGTCCTTTTCATCTGCCTTCATTTTAGCCATGCTAACATCTCTGTCCTTCCTGCTAGGCAAGTAATGAGTGACTCAAAAAATTGGTAAAGGTGCTCATATATGCTGATAAAAAAAAGGGATACTTATTGCACATTCAAAAGGTAGATGTAGCCATTCTCACACACACTGAATAAGTTTGAAAACAATTGATAATGCCACTCAGGCATCCAGAGAACAGTAAGCAGTCTCCAAGAGATGTCATCACTTATAGTTATGGGCATTGCATAGAAAGATAAAACCTGCCTATTTTGCATGACTACAGGTCTACTCTGTTGCACTTTCCTTTCTTTTCTTATTTGAAGGAAAATGTGCTCCTTTGTTCATCATAACATAATGATACAGTAGAGGATCAGCAATAATGGAAGAATTTATGCATTAGAAATAGTCACAACAGAAACTCGACAGATACGCTTCCTTGAGATAATAACTGCAATGGAGTTGTTGCAATTTCCTTCTTCTCAGGTTAAGAAATAGGTGGTTGTTCAATGAAAGGCAAATATCTGAAAGAAGATGTAAAAGCTGCCTATCATAAGATTTGGCAGTCAATGAAATTAAGGTACTGCTTTCAGCTAATTGGAGCTATCCCTCAACTGAAGAGACAAAAAACCTTGATAACTTCATGCCATATTCTAAGTATGATCATGCTTCATTTATTCTTGCCAAAGAGATTTCCTGATTCTCAGCCTGATGACTAGGTATGAAAAAGGAAAGGAAGTTTATGGACATGTACTGACAAGAAGAGTTAAAGAACCAAAGCTCCATCAGAGGTTTACCGGTTTTCAGAATCAGTTGGGTCGAACACCTGAGATAAAGATGGAATAGTAATTAGGTTATTTTTCCAGCGTGAAAGAGGAAAAATATGCAAAATGCATTTGGAAGTACAACATTTTCCAGCTAAAATTGAAAGAACAATATGCTAGGATTCTGACATCCGTTTCATTTTTATGACCTTCAAGAACAAGCAAAGGAAGCGAACAACTGTTGGTTACAAGGTTCAAGAAAAGATGGGACATTCACCAATTTAAAAAAAAGAAAAGATGGATATTCAATCACTTACTAAGGTATTATAACTTTCTATCTTATTTCACCGTTGTAAATCGCTGTCTACTATTCCTTTCCCCATCGTTCTCATCTGACTCCTCTTTCAGATTTTAGAGATATCGAGTTTTTACTTTCTTCAGCACTCTCACCGACACATTAGTCAAGTTTCTTATATTCTCTTGTTTGCAAGGTAGCAATTTCAAGGCAACGCAAGCTCCAAAATCCGTCAATTCCTTCCTAATGCTTGTTATCTATTTGCAGATGTCATCCCCAAAGATTCATACTGTTATCTTCTTTCAACGCTTTACTTAATTTTCTTAATATCCAGCTCCTTACAATTTCCATCTTCTACTTAATTATTCAACGCCTTAGATCTTCAATTCTCAAACTCCACGTTATGGCAGCCTATGCCAAACTTTAGTCTAATCAATCTATTAACAATTCTCTAATATTGTCCAATAGCATAATAGGAAACAGCAAGTTTAAAAAATTAAAAAATAATACTCCACTGTAAAAAGGTATTATTCATAATGAAGCACCTCATTTTGTCTTTCTGTGTCAACACTAAAATTTGAACTGGGTCTGTGATGAGCCATTCTTTGATGATCTGAAGCCGAATAGGAGTAATCATGTCTTGGCCTAGGAGACCTATGCTCAATTACATCTCTTCCTGACCTTCGTTCTCTTTTTTCAGATGACAATTCTCTATCCAAAACCCTCTCCTTAGACCGATGCCTGTGCCTCTGTTTAGAGGGAGACCTGTCCCTACTACTGGAAGAATTCGTCTCATGATGCCCCATCAGAATCACACACTTATACAACCAATGTATTTATCTGCCGCAAATCAAATACACCAGAAAAAGGAAAAAATGCCAATTATTAAAAACAAGTAAAATTTATCAGAGCATCAGAGGTTGAAACTTACATATAAAAAATCAGCTTAAAGATTTCAGCTTGAGAGTTTTTTAGCACTGCCATAATATGTTAGGAATCAGCACTAATCCCAATCACCTATTTCAGCAATCAGGGAAAGATCTAGGGTATAACTTACACGTCAACCCGAACCCAATAGCTTTAGTCCAAATTTTCTTAAGAAATCTATTGAATATGTACAAATTATTAATATAGAACTCACTAACTTAAAAGAACTAGAATCCCGAACCCTCCCGCGGAGACAAAAAACACTAGGTAATTCTTCTTATCTGTCCTAATCTTGGTGAGCAAAGTTACCTAGTACCTGATACTGGTACCTATCCATGGAATTAGTCAAGCTGTGTGAAAGCTGACCCAGACACCACGGTCATAAAAAAAAAAAAAAAAAACTAGAATCCTGAACCCATAACCTTCAAACCCTAGCTCCAACTTTACATCAATTTGGTAATGAAAAAACAATATAAGAACAATAATTATACTAAAAACTTCTGCAATTGAAAATCATGGGGTTCTATACACCGCAGTAGAAAATGAGAAAAGTGAAAGCAGCAATAACAAACAGTTACAGTGATTGCCCACATCAAATACACCATAAAAGGCATCAAAACAAAGCCAATTTTTAAACAAATCGCAAATTTTATCAGATTATCAAAGTTAAAACCTGCATAAACACCATTTGCTTAAAAAAATTCATCTAATTTGGAGTTTTTAGTATATATATACTTACTGGGCTGATGAAAATTTTCTGGAACTGAAAATCATGCGCTTCGAATAGGAGCAGAAATAGCTGTTCAAAGTGTAAAATATTTTACACAAAAAGTATGAGAGATAATTAATTTTTGGAATTAGTTCATTCTATGTTTGGTTGAGATAAAATTACGAAATAATTTATTTCAAGATTAATTATTCAGAGATTATAATATTATTTTGGGAACTTTCGCAAATAGCCATTATAATAAACTTAATTATGCTCTGTAGCTATGGATTGCATATTTACGGGTTGTAGCTACAGTTTAAGCTGCCTCGTTTGTATAATTCACGGATTTGTATAATTCGCAGGATTGTATACTTCGCGATACATTTTTATAATTCAGTTATTTTTGTATAAACTCGAAATAACGATTTTATACAATTACAAACATCATAAACGTAAACAGTTATACAAATTATATTATATAAATTCTAAATTATACAAAAGTTATACAAATTCCGAATTATACAAACGTGTGAATTATACAAAACAAAAAAGTTGAGCCGCGTAGTTATAGCTAAAAGTATGTCGCGAATTGCAATTAAGGCAAACTATAAATATATTATCTAATTAACTAATATATGTTTGGAATAACAATCTTTAATGTCTGTGATAGTTTTTTTGTGTTGCACAATTTAAATTTTGATGAGACTTACGTGGTATATTTTTAGTTTAGGAACAAGATTTATCATAGATTAATTTGGGCTAAATATTAATCCAAACTTTAATGAGTTGAATTAATAAATAAACGAGTCAATAATTAAAACTTAATCAGATTATGATTTCATAGGCTATTTTGTCATCTCTAATTGTGAACAACACAATCTTGCCAACCCACATATCGGTATATATACTACACATTATAATTCTAACAATTTAATTTATTTGAAAGCATCAACATATCGGGCTATTGATAAACTTGAGAGATATAAAATTAACTAGACGGCGAAATAGAAGTACATTCTTCCCAAAGTTTATCACTATTTTTCCAAATTTCAGTTGTATTCACTCCCTTCATCTCAGGACTGAGAAGAGTAGATTCCATAATTGCATTATGACATTTTATTCCCAGTGCGAGAAGTTGAGCGCAACACTCTTCCACATCACTATACTTTCCACTATCCAAAATTCTGTTAAATATGATTATTCCACAATCATCCGATATGTTTTGCAAACATTCCTCCACTTGTCCAGGATACGGCTCAGGTGCCGGTGCTTCATTATGATTATAATATTTATTAGGAAATGTATAATACAAAGAAGAATCATATAAATCCAAATCATCTAAATTTTCACCATGATTGCGATTATAATAATCTTCTTCTCGAATGGCTAATGTTATTGGTGTAAACAAGGAAATTACCATTGCAATTGCAACAATCTCTATAACTCTCATCAATTGAATTGCCATTTTTTGTTATTGAAAAATATAAGAATGGAGAAGAAATATAATGGTTAATTTATAATTATATTTGTATATAATAAAAAAGGTAAATGAATTAATGAAGCAACATATAGTAACGTTTTAAAATTGGAGATGACAAATAAATGTGTAATTAATTTTCCTTCACTCTTGAAATAAAGTCAGATCATCTTTTAGAAACAAAAAAAGAACAATAAAGACTATTTATGGTCATCTATAGTATTAATCTGTTACAACAAAAATATGATCGTCTGGAATTGCATTAATTGAAATATGCAATAAATAAAACTAAACAAAGTTTATAATAATAATTAAAAAACAATGTTTGAATTTGATCAGAAATATTTTTTTCAGAATTAATGCGGGGCGGGGCAGGTTGCAGCTTTAATAGTATTTTTTTTTTTAAAACTGATTTTTGTTCTTAAAAAAATTATATTGTTCATGTGCATGAATTAAATATATTTTAGTTTAATTTTCACACACTTTAATTACCAAAAATATATTAGAAATTTGGATTAAACAACTTAAGTATTTATATTAATAAATAAAGTTTTTATAATAGCATCCAATATAATGTATTATAAACAAATGGTTCACATCTTATTAAGTAGAATTAATTTATACTTTTATAAATAATAATAATAATAATAATATTACTATTTAAACTTACATGTTTACTATCTTTTAATTTTGTGTATGCATTTATATTTAACATATTTTATTAAAGGGAAAAATGACGAATATTCTCCTGAACTATTGTAATTGGTACGTTGATTACCTTTGTCATACTTTTGGGATACTAGTGCCCCTGCCGTCCAAAAACTAGAGCATATATACCCTTTATACTAACGAACATACACGTGTCATAATCTTATCCATCGACACGACATTTAATAAATGTCGTGTCGACGGACAAGATTGTGCCACGTGTCCCTATTTAGTCTTCTGTTAGAGTTAAGGGCATATATGCTCTAGTTTTTGGACGGCAGGGGCACCAATGTCCCAAAAGCATGACGAAGGATATATGCATACCATTTATGATAGTTCGGGATATATTTGTCATTTTACCCTTTATTAAAATATTAGCTTCTTTCTAGACATTTTTTATTGGATAAGTTTTCGATTGATGCATCAAAAAGGAAATGGATAGATTTAATTTAATTTTGGCCAAAGTTATTGTGGAGTTGGAATTCCAAGTTGTATTTTTCATCTGCTAGGAGCACTTTCACTTCTATTTCTTTGTTTTACTTAAAATGCTTACAAGATCATTTTTGTTTTGTTTGTCGTTATGATCTCCTAGCTACCTAAAACAAAGGAAGAACCATTACTTGTTATTTATTATTGTTTTCAATAATTTATTATAGTATATTGTTAATTGTACATCGCATTGGTTTATTGTTGTTTTTGCTCTCTTCTAGTAATTATTGTTATTTTTGCTCTCTCTTCTGTTTTATTGTTGGTGATAAGATACTCAAACCCCACTTATTGGGATTTCAATGAGTTTGTTGTTGTATTCCAATCGTGGTTAGCTTAATGTACAATGGCTAACTATAACTAGGATAAAATTTACATGTAGTATGAATGGTGATTTTATTTCATTGAAAAATTTACAGTTGATGTACATGTGCCTTAGCCTGGCAAAGAAGTAACCTGTGAAAAGGCTTGTTTTTTCAGTCACAGTCCATACAAGTTCATAGGCATTGACAGAGAAAAACATTACACATAATTACATCAATCAGAAACTAATTGGAAGGGAAAGATCCTCATCGTTAGAGCTGTCAAAATGAGTTTGGCCGGTCTAATCCAACCCTTGAATTAGATGGGATTGGGCTTAATTTTTTCAGCCCATTTAGGAACGAGGCTTTTTAGTCCAGCCTCATTTGGCCCGCTGGCCTCGTTGGCCCAACCCACAAGCCTCAGAGGCCAGCCCCCGGGCTGTGAATTTTAAAAATATTTATTATATAAATTTTAAGTAGTGTTTTACTTGTTAAGATATTGTCAATAAATAATCTTAAATTATCAATATAAAATCAAGATTATATTTTTTACATATCTTTTACATTTTAGGGTCATTAGTCCACTAAATTTTCTTATTAGCCCAAGTTCATTACTCCATTATAACTAAGAATCTTTGACCTCTTTTACTTTTGTTTTTATGCCTAATTTTTCACTTCTCCTTTATTGTCTTGTTTATGCAAATAGTGATCATGTAATGTTTTTTGCTCGGATGAAACTTATGAATGTTGTATCTTGGCTATTATGTATTTGTTTGTAAATATTCACTGAAGTATGTGTAATTCATCAGCGTTCATATTCTTTCTAAGAGGAAAATGTTATCCGTTTTTTGGTTGAAGGGCCAACCTGTCCCAACCCGTGGCTCGCTTAGGGCTGCTATTTTATACGCCCTTCAATTAAAAGGGTCAGCCCGTCCCAACCCATTTAACTCTCTAGCCTGTTCGGGTTGGGTTGGGTTGGGCCAGCCCATTTTGACAGCTATACTCATCGTCAATCATGGTTAGGTTAATGTACAATGGCTAACTATAAATAGGAAAAAGTTTACATGTAGTATGAATGGTGATTTTATTTCATTGAAAAATTTACAGTTGATGTACATGTGCCTTAGGGGAAAGAAGTAACCTGTGAAAAGGCTTGTTTTTTCAGTCACAGTTCATACAAGTTCATAGGCATTGACAGAGAAAAACATTACACATAATTACATCAATCAGAAACTAATTGGAAGGGGAAGATCCTCATCGTCAATCAGACGTAGAGTTAACCCTTGAATGCTACAGTTTATCCAGAACTTATTAAACGACATACTGAGCAGAAACGCGTAGACTTATCTCAAGAAACTTGTAATTTCTTAGGATTGTTGATCCATACAAGTTAAATCTGTTTGACAGTGAGTTCACAGACTCCATATACCAGACACCTTGAGCCAAACAAGAAAAGTCATGATTACACCTATCATACGAGAAAGATAAAAAAGTTTTCCATGTAAAAAGCCTATACAAAGAGTCACTAGAAAAAGAAAAAGATGAAAATATAAGCTGCTAACTTCATAACACAAGAAATTGGTTAATCTTCTTTCCCATGTTTTACTTGTCCGCCTTTTAAGAATCTCATGAACCAGTAAGCAGAAGATTTCAGATGCCGGGTTAGCCCATTCTTGAAGTCCACATATGTCAGACCGAAGCGTTTTGTATAACCAAGATTCCATTCAAAGTTATCCAGCAATGACCACGCAAAATAACCCCTTACATTAGCACCATCCCTATCGAGACAAATGTAGGACTCCGTTAATATGTATAGAGTGTAGGCAAATGCATCGCCATCCAGTCAAATGGTAATAAAAAAAAACAACATTTGATTGATCCCGTAAGAGTGGAATCATTCAGCCAACAGATATTGACAAATGTTCATGAATTTATGATGTAACTGCAAAAATATCATGCATAAAAAGTTTGAGCCCTCCTTGTATGTTATACCAGTCATTTGTTGTGCTAAAAGTATCATGCATAACTACTTTTTACTTTTGACACCTGGAAGAGCAGCGGACACCAACTGTTTCCGGAAACAAGAGTTGAAGATGAGACGAGAGTAGGAGATCTCAGGTTCAACTGGGTTGAGCATCCT